TGTAATAATAGCATAAACTTTCTACACTCAAAGGTGTATGTGGCATCAGTCACACTGATGTCCTTGCTCTTCCTAGAACATGCTAGGCCTGCTTCTACCTCAGAGTCTTGGCATGTGTTGTTCCCTTTGCCTGAAATGCTCATTTCCCTAGTTATCCATATGGCTTACTCTTTTACTTCCTTGGGGCTTCCATTCAAATATCACCTTCTCAGGCCTTTCCTAGCCCTTCTATAAGAAATGAAATTTCCTCTCAACATATCCTGAGCCTCTTTCTTATCTTTATTTTTCTCCTTCACATTTAGCATGCTTTTACATATTTTTCTTATATCACTTCTTTTTGCTTGCATTTCCTCCTAGAAAATAAATTCCATGATGGCTAGAATTTAAGAAATCGGTGTCTGTTTTGTTCACTGTTATATTCCAGTATATAGAACATAGCAGGGTATATAGTAGGTGCTCAATAAATGTTTATTGAATCAATGGTCAAGTAAATGAAAGTAAATCTTTGTATTTCTGGAATTATCAAAGAAATAAGAGACAACTCCCCATGTTATTTTTAAGATGCCAAGATTGATACTAGAATTAATATTTCATAATTTATTCTTTATATTATCCATAGAAATTAAAAAGTTAGTGAACCAGCTTCTGTTTTAAAATCTTACTTTAGAATTATTTTTAAAATAACCTGTCAATTATAGGGGAAAACAAAAAATGTGATAACAATGCAACATAACTTTCCAAATTTAATGTAGTATATTAATATAACATGTATTTTAATACTATATCAATATAACATATTTGCATTAAATTGTTTTATGAAAATATTATAAAAGTTCAGAAGCTAACCTGAAAATGACTGACTATAGCCGTTAATGGAGCAAAAGCATATAATTCAGAGGCAGTCAATCAGATCTACAGACAGAGCCTTGCAGAGAATGCCCTAATTAACTACCCTATCCAATGAGTAGTACACGAAAACAACGTCTGTGAAATCACTTCTTTACTCACTTCCAGTTATTACAAGGGCATGCAATTTGCGCTTTTTAAAAAAATTTTATTTATTTATAGTTTTTGAGACAGACTTTCATTCTTGTTGCCCAGGCTAGAGTACAGTGGCACAGTCTTGGCTCACTGCAACCTCCGCTTCCCAGATTCAAGCGATTCTCATGCCTTAGCCTCCCAAGTAGCTGGGATTACAGGTGCCCATCACCACGCCCACCTAATTTTTTTGCATTTTTAGTAGAGACAGGGTTTCACCATGTTGGCCAGGTCGGTCCTGAACGCCTGACCTCAGGTGATCCACCTGCCTCGGTCCCTCAGAATGCTGGGATTACAGGTGTGAGCCACTGCGCCTGGCCAACTTGTGCTTTTTATACTCATCATCATAAGGCCAATGGAGAAAATCAAGATATCTGTTAAAACATGTAGGAGCATTCCACATAAATCAAAGTAACAATTTAAAAACCTGTTAGATAGAAAAGGTAAAAAGCACTATTCCTTGAGTTGTTGCCTAAATTTTTTTATGCCACATGTTTAGAGAAATTGGTTGTTTTCCTACTTTTGTTTAACTCAACCAGCTGTGTTCTTCACAAGTTGACATTATTTATTCTAATACTTAGATTTAACATAGACTGGCGAGCTAACTACATAGAGTAGTTTCAAATTAATACACTTAATAAGATAGTCTTCCCTAAGTCTTGAATTAAATCAATCAAGCTCATTATCTACATTGAATCCATGATTGCCCATATTCTTTCCAATAGAATTAATTTGTTTTAGCTCAAAAGATTAGCTTTATTGCTTTCTGTAAAGCTCCTCATATCTTCAGCTAGCTTATCTATTCCATTAGGCATTGATCTGCCTCACTAAGCTGAGACCCTCTGCCAACAGAAATTGGACCTTAACAGAAGAGATAACAGCTATAAGCACAAAACCTATACATATAAAAGGGCGATAAATGTTCAAACCGGAGGCAAATAATTTGGGAAGCTGTTGAGTTCCTAAGATGCATATATCTTTATTACAGATTTCCTCTCCCAACTCTTAGAGCCAATTCTTAGAAATTGCACAAAGTTTAAAACCATAATAATGAAGTTTTCATAATTAAATCATTTTTATATAACCTAATTGCTTCAAATATTACCACAACAGAACTTGTGCAGAGGAATTAAAGTTACATCTTCAAATTTACTCCTATCTTCATTAATAAGAATTGCATGAATATTTTTTCTCATTTCCTAGAGACCATATATCACTATTACAAAACCTGGTCCCTGAAGAAAGTATAGCTCTTGTTCTGTCTTTTTTAATGATTCTGGGTGGCCACTGTCCATTCAAATGCCTTAGGAAAATCAATTTACACTTGAGAACAATGTGCTAGTGGCTTCAATTTCTTCAGCACTGTGCATGTATAGATGCTCAATCATCTAATAAAGGTCTCCAACATCTTGATAATTTCTAAGAAGCCCTAAAATGCTTTTCCTTCAGTCATTCTATAAAATCTCCAGTTTTATATGTATGGAAAAAAACCTTTCCTCACTCCCTGTATCTGAGATTATACACTGTAAGAAGGCTTTTAAGGAGATAGTGCTGAAATGTTGAATGATATGTTTTTCCTACAAAGACAGTTCAATTGCAATGTGCTATTATTTCCCAATTCATTTTACCCTTTCATTTAAGTGAATTTATACCATCTATCACAAAATAGAAGGCAAATATCTTTCATCTGTTTCTCATCTTAGTGAGGAAATACCTCCTACTTCTGTAAAAATGTCACCTCATAACATCACTGTTGTGGATTTTTCTAAAGTCATCATTTCTGAACTAGGATAATTTTGTAGCAGGTTAACACTTGCCTGATGAAAAACAGATTTGCTTCAAGTGACACTGTGATTTTGAAGCATTTTTTGCTCTTTCTGTAATTTTTGTGTCACATGTATTTACTAGTCCTTAGCCACCATAATCTCTAGGGAAGTTTTAGTGCAGCTCAAAGGTGTAAGATATTTCGTTTCAATTTTATGAATTATCAAATATAGTAGAAGTCAATTACAATAAGACATAAAAATACTCAAAACCAGATATGATAAAGAATCGGAAAAAGAAAATAGACATCTTCACATTTCTGGATTGATTTAATCTTAGAGGTTCCTACAAAGCTGAGGTTAAAACCATTCTTTTTGCCTCTTTATCCTAAGGAGTCCTTTGAAGAAAATAATATATTATAAAATGTCTGTGTCAACTTCTAAGAATACTTTTTAAATTACTTTTTTAGTTTTAATAAAATATTTTAGAAATAATTTATATTGCCTTGTGATTCTAAGAGGAAACAAATTAAGTATCAATAATTTCCAGAATACAAGTAAGTAAACCACACATCTAGTTAAGGAGAATAACAGGACATGGGAATATTTACTTTAAAAGAACTGATTTTAAATATATATAATAATTACTCTATTTTAGAGGATAGCTTATCCAAGGCTAAAATGCAGAAATTTCCAAATGGTACTAAACTGATTATTCACCTTACTCTTTTAAATTATTTATGTATAAAAATAATGCAACATTTGAATATTTCCAAAAAGCTCCAAATATTTCCTTCTCTTGAATGGGCAAAACTTTGATGAATGCAAGAATAGTTTGAGTTTTTTAGGAATTATAGGCTTATAATCCTACTTTTTGGCTTAAAAATGTTTCTTGTCACTTCTAGTTTTCATGGCATATGTCTATGAAAAAGTATCATTCTATGACTATATCATTACAGAATGTTATCATTGTTTTGAAAGGGCATGTTGACCTCTCCTCTCCTGCCCCACTGGTTGATTTTTCTTAACGCTTTGGGCTCTCCTGAACAGAGCCATAACCAGACAGCAAAGAAGTTTGTTGCTAAATGAAAGAGCAACAATGAATTTTTGCTACATTGGGGAGTAGGAGTGCCTGAGAGCTTTACATTTTGGCAAGGTCTTTCTTCTAAACTTGCCTTAAAATAGATTTTCTTTGGCATGAAGGAGGGATACCAGAAAGCAGTGGCACAAAATACAAGAGACAAGAAAAAGAGTGGCAGAAAAAAAATATTGATCTTAAAAAGAAAAGGCTTTCTTGGAATAATGAAAGAGCATTGGCATTATAAGTTTACGTACAAAGTTACTGTTTTTGTCCTTCTTTCTTTCAAAAAAGGATGTTGTTTTATATCTCTTCAATGACAAAAGTTAAACTATCCTGAATAGGTCAATATTATGAGATAAACATAAAATAATATTTGTTTTCCTTCCAGGCTAATTGCTTTGTCCAAACATATATTGTATAAGCAAGGTTCATGTCAAGACAGAACTCAAAGCCCCCTGGTTTGTAAAGATATGAATGTTTGCTCTGGGGAGCTGAAGAGTTAGTAAGTAAGCATTACTAATAACTGTACTTAATATAATCTTGAGTAGAAGTTCAAAGTCTACAATTTTATTCATCAGAATCGTGTGTCTTTTATTATCAACACAAATACCTGCCCTTTGCAACATTTAGGCAGTAGTAGCCAGAAATGAAATGGTGAAACATCCTTATTTTGGAGTGAACATGAGGAAATAGAAGAAAATGTCATAGGAAATCCTTGGGGAAGAAACAAGGAGACAAAATTGGAATCACTAAAAGATAGCCAAATGAGCTCATGGTCAGAATGTAAAATAGATAATTCAATTTTATATCAGAAATATAACTTTAATCTCAAGTTAAAAGCCAGAAAGCAATAGAGATACATTCAGGAAAAAAAGTCAATCAATAAAAGTTTCTTCTATATGGTTAAACCAATTTTTACCCAATAATAAATGGAAGAAATGGGCATGTCATGTGATTTTCATTATATTTCAGAGGATATATTCCTAAAGTCCGAACTCTTAGCAATAAATTGTAACCAGTAGCTCTTTAACACCTCTGCTTCCCTGTTAGCTTTCAATATGAAGAAGGCAATGCAATAATTATTTCTGGCAGCAAATATGTGTTCATGCAATTCTTACCTGCCCCCCTTTAGGCTGGTATTTGATGTTGTCTGTTGATCCAATTTTGGATTTGACATTCTTCAGGTCTGGCAGTGGTTGGTTAATAAGCCGAAGCTGCTTGGGAGTCGCGGGAGATTTTGGAGGAGTACGTATGATGGCGACCTTCTTCTCACTCGGCACCAAGATGGCAGACTTGGGGGTTCCTGGTGTATGAGGGGTCCTGGGATAGCTAGGGGTTCCAGGAGTGCCCGGTGTGCGTGAAGAATAACTTGGTGGGGTGCCAGGAGTGATGGCAGTAGACCCAGGGGTAGTGGGTGTTGAGGTACCACTTTTTCCTGCTCTGCGAATTGGCTCTGACCCTGTATTAACAAGCAAGACCAAAACCAAACCAGAGTCAGAAAATTCTTCTCAAAACCTCCCTCTTCCCATAGATTGTTAGAACTCATAATATGTATAATTTCTAAAGTATTTAGAAATGGTTATTGTAATGATCACTATAGTGCTCAAGAAGCTGAGAGCCTTGTTTCTGAAATCAGGTACAAAACCCAGTGATATTCTTTTGAAGACCTGTTGCTATCAATACAAAGAAAAAAAACCTGATTTTTTTCTGATTTGTTCTCCTTAATTTTCATCATTAATGTGTCAAAAACTATTTTCTACTTGTGTGACTATTAAGGTATATGGATCTGCCTTTAGTTGGAAAAGAGTTTACACTTAATGTCGTATGCAGACCCATATTTACTGAAGATTCCTTGAATGATATGTAGATCATTCATTCTTCTATGTAGTAAATTCATTCTGGGATCCAGGTAAACATACAACATAGAACCATGTATTTAGGACACATAGTTTTGGTCCGTATAGAAAGATCTGCATTTCATTATTATATCCTTATATTGAGGAACACTATGAGGTGTAAATGTGCTTATGAAAACTGTCAGACATTGCTCTCCTTTATCATGTATTCTTTTCATAAGGAAAATTATCTCAGTGCTTCAAGCAAATAAACAAAAAGTCTATTTCTTGCCTTAGAAACTTGGGATGTCCCAACAATATGTTCCCAGTGAGTCTCATACCTGGTTGTGTTTTCTCCTCTGTTTCATCACTAGTTTTGCAATTTGGAGTTAAATCCCAAACCCTGCTAATTATACAGGATCTGAGATGCATTTCTTTGCCTCAAGTTGAGCTCAGCCTCATATTTTGTTATGCCTACCCCCCATTTTCCTATACTATATTTCTTTTATCCTTTGAATGTATTTTGAATGACATTTCAAATACTTTTCTGAAAGAATGATAGAAATAAGAATATAACACCTTATAAATTTCAAAGCACTTTTGTGGATACCAACCAATAACCAAACAAACATGCACAATACAGTTGTTAGGGGCAGCTCTTATTAATCCTAAGAAATACGAATATTGAGGCTCATTTACCCAGATGTCACTAAAGTCTAAGCCAGATATATTTAGCCCCTGAGGATTTATATTTTTAAGCATGCAAATTTCATTTATAACACATTTTATACAAAAAGGATAATTTTCATTTTTTACTGCTGATTTACATTGATTATGTAAAAAAATCAATGAATCTTCTGAAATTTTGTAGAGATAAATAAATAACAATTTTAAAGCCACTGAAGTGAAAGGAATCTTAGAGGTCACCTAATGCAATTGATCATAAATATAAGAAGTTCTTTCTGAGAAGTGGACATGTAGTCTTTGCCTAATATTTACAAGGTATGAGCTCAGGAGAGCTTCTTATATATTGTGACCTATGGACAATGTAAACCCACCCATCACCATAGGTTCTGTCTCCTGGAGAAACGCACAACAATTTTATTTTTTCTTTCAGTGAACAGTTTTCACATATCAAATGAAAGTGCCCTGTGTCTTTTCAGTCTTCTAACACAGGAAACAAGATAGTTAGACTCTTCAATTGATAATACGAAATGGGATATGAGAAGCCTAAAGTGGGAAATTAGCATGTGTTCTGTGATTTTTATTGCTTTTCACAAGAATGACATTTCAAGACTAGGATGACACAACCACATCCAACTTGGCATTTTGTAACTTCCATGTCCTGGTTTGTTTTGGCCTAGGTTTTTAACGTAGATGTCTGTCTCTATATCTGTACGAAAAATTTCTCCAGAAACATTATTTCTTTCTTGAATGTTTTCTCTACTACCTTACCAGTTTTGAATAGCTCAGATATTCTGGGGAGAGGGATCGTCCCTGTATTTTTTGCCATTATATCTAGTCCTGGCGACTTTCATGTGAGCTTAATACAGTAGGTGCACAACATATTTTTTAAATAAAATGTATTGTATTCAGAATTCATCAAAGTGTGCTGAGGGTTTTTTTGGCTTTATGGAGACTGAATAGAAGCAATATTCTGGATGTGGATAACAATTTTTACTATATGAAATAATTTTTTCTAAACTTCCAAGGAGTCATTTCCATACTTGTAGGAAACACTTTAAGCTTCATCAAAGAAATATCATTTGATACATAAAAACTGTTCACTGAAAGAGGAAATAAAATTGTTCTGTGTTTCTCCAGGAGATAGAACCTATGGCGATGGGTGGATTTACATTGTCCGTACGTCACAAGTATATAAGAAGCTCTCCTGAGCTCACATCATGTAAATATTAGGCAAAGACTACATGTCCACTTCTCAGAAAGAACTTCCTGTATTTATGATCAATTGAATTAGGTGATCTCATATTTCTTATGACCTCTTCCTTAGAAATATGTTCTTAGCACATATTTCAAAGGACACCAATACTCTAGGTTTTGCATTACATCTGGAGAAAAAGGGTAAACTACAAATATTAAGGCCTTCACACTGCTGCTCAAAACATATGATCAATTTTTATTATAATAAATATGTTCTTGTCGCCAAAACAATAAATTTGAATGCTTCCTACTTGTTCTGAACTTGAAGAGGTTAAATCTAAGGTCTAAAACAACTTTTAAGATATTTATATGCAAGTTACTTGATTAAACTGTGCTCTTATTTATCTTGTCAATGACAATGACTTTCCTTCCTCTTGGTCGGATGGGCTTCCTGCAGAAGAAACATTGTTTCTTCAAATCTTTTAAATAGCTGCACAAAATGTTAGAATATTCTTGTATACCACTAAGGGGATGGTAGGCAAGTAGAAGTGAGCAGAGTACTTGCTCTTCCAGTCATCTTTGTGCCTTTCAGCTATTGGTATGTAGAGATAAAACAGACCCTATATTTTTAAATTATCAATGTGTCAGTTATGTTTGTTAACAAATAATACAATGCAAAATACTTGTAAACATCAGTAAATTTAAAAAGTCAAAATAGAATTGGTGCAGAACATTTAATGAATCAGTTCATATATGGATACACTTTAAAAGGCAGAACGCGGTGGTTTGAAGAAGTGGATTTATGGAGAAGTGCCATTTTGCTTTTATAGCAACAAACACAAGCATAATTCAAGATGTTCTTTTGGGTACTTGGTATCTTTGTCTTGTTTCATTAGCCTTGGGGTTATTAATGATGTTCAATTTTAACCCTAGATATTTAAATTTTTTTCCCTGGAGAGTACTAAATCTGAAATGCCCTCCCTGCTAATTCATTACAATAATTTATTTTTGCTATGCTATGATAAAAGAGTTCTTGTGATTTCAGTGTTTTTAGCACCTATTTCAAAGGACGCTAATACTCTAGGAAACAATTGGACACAATTACTCTTATTACAATAAACACTTTTCTTGTAGGTGAAAACACTGTTTAAATGCCAATAGTCATATTTAAGTGGAAAATAAGTGGTGAAGTCAACTATAATGTGATAGTGGTAGCAATTTCCACCATTTTAAAATGGTTTTTAAATGACACAGATACTCTTCTCCAAATGATTCTACAGAGCAGTTCTCTAGTACTATTTCCTCCAAAAATGTAGAAAAGACATTAAGGCTTCAGGTTGTGAAGTTATCAGTGGGCCGAAAACCAAATTCAACCACTTACTAGCTGTGCAGCACTAGACAAGTTACCCTCTCTAGAAGGTCAGTTTTGTCTTCAGTAGATTGAATTCAGTAGATTATTAATACCTACTCATTAGTTTTGCTAATTAAATACAATGAAAAGTGTATCTTAAGAGTTTGGCATCTATATGTGCTCAAAAATGGTAGCTATTTTGGTTGCAACAGAAAAATACTTATGGAAGTAATTTCCATCCATGCTTTACTAGATAGTTTGCCACAATGCAACAGATAAGTGTGTGATGATTGGAGCATTACATAAACGGTTATAATTGCCAATCATTTCATGAATGGGTCATCAATCAAGATAATTTGAAACTATTACATAGACTATGCTATATTTATAGCTCATTTGGAATGTGAATTCTTAACAAGTTGAGCAGGATCCTAGGTTTTGATTGTCGACTTTATAGTTAGATTTTACAACTTGGAAATCTAATAAGTGTTAAGCTCTTATAGACATATATTTTTAAAATCCTTGACTATTGGTTTTCTACATTGATTAGTTCTTTAGAATTTTCTTTCTACAATAAATTTGAAGCAAAAAAGAAAATATATTCTTAGAAAATAACTTTATCTCAGTCTTAGATAATAGGGTGATATGTTATCATTTTCTCCATCTATTGTTTTTACTCAAACAGCTATTTTGTGGCCATCTACATTCTGGATTGTCTGATTCTTAGGGAAAATATAATCTAGTCTTAATGCATGTTTTATTTTTACAAATTTAAATATAAGTGCTATTCCACTTAAAGGGTTTAAAAAGTGCTTAAAAAGGAAGTCAAATCAAAATAAACCTACTGGTGGTCCGTCGTGCTGAAGAAGAGATAGAACTGTTGAGAGAGAAGGAATTCTCATCTCTGTCTCCTGAAACACCTCGGCGAGGAGGAAGAATGGAGGACGGTCTTGGGAGAGAAGAGCGCTTTTCTGGGCTCTTGGTTACTCCATCCTGATTGGAGAAAACAAAAGGACATTGGGTTCTTGCAACTCTTTAATTTATGCAAAGTGATACTGATTTTGCTATTTTTCCTCCTGTGCTGATAGATGAATTTCTTTTAATACAGATTACTGGATTTCACATATTTACAAGTATTTCTACTTTACAACTTAGGAAGAATACATATTTGCCTAGGTATTTTATAAAAATATGTTATTTTGGAACTCTGAAAACAATGTGAAGTTTAAGTTCTAAATGATAATATGGGTAAAATAAATGTACTCAAGCAATCTTCAGCAAATTACTAATTTTACTGAAAAATCTTCATTCGCATGATAATATATTAATCAGAAAGGACTGAGGGTAGCTCACTGCATGCATAATATTTCTAACAATGACTACTACCATATATTGTGCATGTATGTGACAGGAACTCTCTATAGTTTACATCCACTTATTATTTCATTCTCATCACAAAACATGATGCATATTATAAAGCTGTCTGAAGAAACAGGTTTAATAAGTTCATGTAATTGTTTCAAGATAATTGAGTTGGTAGGTGGCAGATACAGTATTAAACCCTGGTGTATACGATATTAAGTTTGAATTGTCTATTATAGTCTATACGATATAATTTGTTATTATTGTTCTATACAATGTTATATATAATATATGAGAATATATTTTGTTATTAGTTTGCATTTGATATTTTACCAGATAATCAAACCATAAATTAATAATGGGTAGTATATCTAGAAAAAGACATATTTTCTACATTTAAAAAATACGTGTACTGTTTATCAAAAAAAATTTTTTTTTTTTTTTTTGAGTCGGAGTTTCGCTCTTCTTACCCAGGCTGGAGTGCAATGGCGCAATCTCGGCTCACCGCAACCTCCGCCTCCTGGGTTCAGGCAATTCTCCTGCCTCAGCCTCCTCAGTAGCTGGGATTACAGGCACGCGCCACCATGCCCAGCTAATTTTTTGTATTTTTAGTAGAGACGGGGTTTCACCATTTTGACCAGGATGGTCTCGATCTCTCGACCTCGTGATCCACCCGCCTCGGCCTCCCAAAGTGCTGGGATTACAGGTGTGAGCCACCACGCCCGGCCCTGTTTATCAAAATTTTTAATTTGTATTTGTTTTAAAAGGGCCTATGGTTTATGTGTCAAACACTTCAGAATGTAAAGTATCTGCTTTAATACATTTCCTGAATTATTTTCTATAACATAACCTTCTCCCAAATTCTATTTCTTTCTGCACCTTTTATTGACCTGCTATCTTACCTTGTTCCCTGATTTTGAGTATGGCAAACGGTCTGTGGAGCCTGCTGAGGTGGACTGTATTAATAAACTGTCAGAAAATGTAGCCCTTTTAGTCGTGCTAGGGCAGGCTGAGCTGTATCTTGGGGACTTTGTGCTACCCTGTAAAGCAGGAATCTTTGACAAGGTAGAATTCTAGCCATGAAAGAAAACAAACAAAAGCACAAAATAAACCAAACTATGAAGTAAAAGGAAAATAATAAAAGAAGATTAAATGTATAAGAAACTCAAAGTCTTTTTAATAAGAACACATGATAAATGGTTATAATCAATGATAGAGATGTGTATTTAGATGAGAAGAGATTTTCATTGAACAGCTCTTTTAAGCCAAAACTAACTTAATAATACTCATATAAAAATGTCTGTTGTAACAAAACCAAATATCGCATGTTCTCATTGATAAGTGGGAGCTAAACACTGGATACACACGGACACAAAGATGGCAACAGTAGACACTGGGGACTCCAAAAGTGGGGGAAGGATTGAAAAACTTCCTATTGGGAACTATGTTCACTATTTGGGTGATGGAATCAATATAAGCCCAAACCTCAGCATCGCGTAATATACCCTTGTAACAAGCCTGCACAGGGACAACCTGATTAAAAATAAAATAAAATAATCTGTTATACAAATAAAACACAAAAATAATGCTAAATCATTTTATTTTATATTAACCAGGTCTAGAACAGCTATCCATGTTATTTGCTCTTCTTTACTTCCAAATGTGATTGTTTATGTTTGGTACATAGTAGATACCAATGGATAATTTTTGAATAAATGATGAATGAGTGGGTGGATAGATGGATGGAAGGAAGGACAGAAGAAATAATAATATTGCTTAGATATAAAGGAATCAGCTCTTTGAAATCCTGAGACCAAAGCAAGTCTCTCTCTCTCTTTTTTTATTTTTAATAGAATAAGCCTTAATATAGAAAGAAGTTACAAGTGACAACTAGCCAAACTCTTTTTGCTGGTTTGAAAAACAATGCTGAGTGATTAAATTTTGTTTTTTTAAAAAATGATTCTATACTAGTTCTCTCATTTAAGGATAATGTAGATAAAATATTATTTTTGGAGTCTATGTATAGAGTCTCTAATTAATTCATAAGTTTTATTATCCACATTTGGAAATATCTTCCAATATCCAATCTGCTGGAATTATTCCTTTAATAAACTCAGCCTTTAAGGTGCACATATAATCCATATCTTAATCATGCTTCAAGAATTTTAGAACAAGGTATATTTGAGGCTTAATAATAAAAAACGTATTTTTAAAGATTGACAAAATTTATTTTCAGGTAATCTAAATTGACTTCAACAGAAAATTTTCAGAGTTTATATATAATTAGTTCATTTTATAAGTAAAACACATACTGTAGACTAAGGTATACCATAGAACTAATAACATTTTTATGCAAAGACTATAGTCTGCATGATGTGTTATGAATTCTAAAAAGGAAAGTCAGGACTGAAAAGATTGCCAATAAAAATCACAACTTAATTTACAGGTGTTGATAACCCCTGGGGAGACTGTCTGCAACTATAATTTGGAAGAATGTATGGCTTTTGGAGAAAGCTATGCCGGATGCCATATGTCTCATGGGTGACAAAAATATAGACAAGTACAACAAAGCCAAGGAGATTCTTATCTTCAAATAATTAATTTGATTTAGCTGTTATAAAAATGACAGATAAAATTGAGATTTTACATCAAGTTTTAACCTCTGTAGCTACAACAGAGACATAAATATTTAGACTGTACAAATCACTTCTTGTTTCATGGACCCAGTATCTTGAGTGGGAAGTGCAATTGGGTCAGGACAAGTCATTCTTTTTTGATTGATCCTACCCACAAAGGAGTGAGTTTCAAAAGTGTGATATAAAAGATAAAAATTAATTGGATTGCTTGTAGTTAAGAAAGACAACTATTAATACTAAACAAACAAACAAACAGAAAAACCAAGTGAAATGCAGGATTATGGATGGGTCTGGTTCCTAATAAAGAGCAATTTAAAAAAATAATCACAGTCATCCCATAAATATATACACCTACTATGTACCCACAGAAAAAAATTAAGTTAAAAAAAGTGAATTAAAAAGAGGATACAATGACAAAAAAATCAGAGAACTGTTCTGATGGATATACTGAATATAAGTGCTAAATCAAAAAAAAGGTACTCAGGGTTTTAGAAAACTTATAGGACAAGGATATGGTATTAGGAAGAAAAAAGCTAATAAATGAGAAAAAAAGAGAGACTGAAGGACTAATTCTTCTTCAGAAAGACAAGATGGGTATTCAGAAACAAAGAAGTTTGTTTTCTGTCAGACAATGCATATAGTTCTGTTCCAAGTGCTGAATCTACTGAGTTACGCAAAGACCAAGGGGCTTAAAAATTTCCTAAAAATGTTCCAAATAATGTCAACCTGAAGGAGGAAATCTCAGACTTGTTTTCTATATTTGCTCCTGAAAACTTCCACTGTTCAGTTAATTAAAATAATAACTAACAACTATTATCATTTATTAAATGAATGCTATGTTCTAAGCATTATACTGCATACTGTTTTATAGCATTATTACATTTAATTTTTATAACTAACTCATGATACAGGAATTTTGTCCTCTCCCTTTATTTTTAGAAAATTAAGAAATAGGAAGAAAAGGGTCATATAACTAATAGTTGTTCCAGATTTGAACATGGTCTGTTTCATAGCCCTATGGTTAACCACCATAAATCATTAGTTTGGAAACAGAAGGTAAAGAAATACAAATCTTGAAATCACATTGCGTTTATAATAAAGCCTAATATTTACCAAAGCAATAAATGAATTCTGTTGCTTGCCATATGTTCAGGAATGTATCTGAAACATTTGTATAAAAATCAAGTATCATCCTTTACCAATCTAAAACCCCTCAAGTTCAAGATCAAAGATTTGCCTGTCATAGGAAATGAATCACTACTTTTTATAATAAATAAAAGTGGAAGTCAAAATCGTATTGATTTTTAGAAAGGTAAACTAAGAATTGTGACTTACATATTATGTGTTTCCTCAGACTCAGAACATTGTTATAGTTACTAATTAATTCAAATTAGTTGTTCCAATTTTAGGATTTCATTACTAGCCTTTTAATTTTTTTATTTCAGTCATAAAGGAGTAAAAATACTTTATGTTGGTTTTAGTCATTAAAATATAGTTAATAATATAAAAATAAATTTCACAGGAAAAAATTAGAAAAGATTTATAAACATATGAAGAAGTTAAACACCATTAATATAACCAAAATAAATTTTTAAATAATATATGCCATCTCCATAATTTGGCAAATGTAGAGCAATATAAAATATGTAGTAATAATAATGAATATGAACACTCTTCTTAAACAGAATGTGTAAGTAGGTAGAAACTTTACAGAGGGCAATTTGGCAATATGAAACAAAAACTTTAAATATGAACATTTTTCTTGCAATAATTTCACTAGTAGAAAATTATCTGAAGGAAATGGCATACAAATGCATTTCTGAACTGAACTTAGCCAAAAAGTTCTCTAAAGTAATATTGTTAAAATAACGGTACCAACAAAAGTTTAAATGTCAAACAATAGGAAATTGATTAAGTATATCATTGCAAAGAAATAAAATGCAGTATTATGTAGTCATTAAAACTATTACAAAATGTTCAATGACATGGAAGTACATTTACTGTTTAATTTAAACATTGACACATGGTGTTCTCATTTTTGTCGTTAAGCCTATAAATGTATAGAAAAAATTTAAAATTTTATATCAAAATGGTAACTTTATTTACCTTTATGATAAGGAGATTATAATTGATTTTCACTTATTTTTGCTTGTGTACATTGCTTCATTTGGTCAGATTTTATTTTGTAACAAAAACAATGAAAGTATATTATAAAATATAGTTACTATTGATTATATGGTTTAATTTGATTTTATAAAAAGTAAATAAGTTCGGCTTCCTTATTTTTGCCATATCATTGTGCTGCTTTATATGTTTTTGTCTTACTAGTAAGGAGGCAGTCCAGTTGCGTCCTCACCAATTACCATCATATGCCATCCCAGAAGACATTCATCCTTCCATGCCTGGATGCCACGGAGAATCTTCTGGGTGAGCAAACTATTTAAAATGACTTTTAAGAGTAAATGTCTAAACAATATCAAAAGTTATTCCAATGTTGCAACTAATACCAAAGGAACTTCAAATGAAGAACAAGGAAAAACTTATTTTACTCACAGAGACTTTGTCCTTTGCCTGTTTAAATACACTGGGAGCCACAGCTGATTCCCCACCTGCTGCTGTTGAAAATAAAAGACAAACAACCCCAAACTCAGTGGCTAAAAACTCATAAATGCACATTTAAATACCTTTAGGATATTCTGTTGTGTCAAAAGACTAATGCAAAGCAAAAGTTTGCTTATTTTGAGACTCAAATTCAGTAATTCACGAAACCTGAATAACAGTAACATAGCATGTGGCTCCAACTATAGTGTGTGCTAATTCATATAATCCATTGTCTACCAAAGCACAGGTAAGCACACCACATAATTTTTCTATGGGTTACCAACATACCTTTGAGTCACTAGAGTATATGTATAGATCCTTTAGAACAGAAATTACAGAATAGCAATGTGAAGTTTGCAAAATTTAAGAAAAAGGATGCTGATTGGTTTCTGGGGTTTGCATGATACATAGAAGAGGGCTCACAGAGATTTCCAAACCCTCTTCTTGTTCTGGAAGCCACTGGCATACCAATAGATATTTTGGCATTTTACATTTCAAACTGTCATAAGTCAACCCCTTTCCCTTTGCACCCCTTCATTTCACAACATGAACGACACACTTGTTTGATGTGAAAATGCCACGAGAAGGAAGAAAAATAGCTTGTCAAGAACAGAAAACACGAGAGAAAATTTAAGTTCAGTAAATACAGAACATGTTCTACACATGCACTTCCTGTAAGAAATTATTACCACATCTGTTACTGTTGTTTCTCTTGCTGCTGTTTTATGCTTCTGGTTTCAATTTTAAACTCCATTATCTCTAGCATATTTTGGGTGATGACTTACCTGTGTTGGCTTAGCTCTCATGATTTAAAACAATCCTTTGTGGTTTGGAAAACCATCTACATTTGAAAACTGGGCTTAGAAAATAAAATAATCAAGCTTGTGTGTTTATTCCTCCTTAATTTTCATTCATAAAATAGAAACCCTCAGAAAAAAAAATATGTATCCTTATAAGCCCTCTGAATAAGTTTCAAAAAGGTACTTTTATGACATGTACAGTTCTAACACAAAAATAGTAACTGTCTGCAACATGCTTTATGTCATGTTGGTCTAGCTAGTGAGATTATTCAGATTCTAGGACTCATTGTTTTTAAGGAAGCGGTAAAAACAATGCCTTCTTACTACCTCTGTAACATAACTCAAATTCTTGTGACGTGTATAGCTTGCTTCAAACCAATGACACCTATATCTGATACATGCTTTCTCCTAAAGTATCTTAACATTAGACCAGAATAAAGGAAAATCTTAATTAGTCCAAAGATTTTAAATTTCTTTTAAAGAATTAATAAAAACACAATTTACTTTCAATGCGGTCAATTGAATACCAATGACATGTAAACAAACCATTTTACATTTTATCTAAAGTTCCACAGTCCTGATGATATCTTTCATCCTTTCAGGTAGGTTATAGAGTTTTCATGCTAAATCAGGAGATTCTGCTTGCCCAAGCAATTTTGCTATTAAGTTTAATGAAGCTATTAATTGCTATTAAGTTTAATGAAGCTAAAAACCTGAGAAAATGAACTGAGGTATATCATGTTAATTCCTAACTTCTAGCTTCAGAGATATTCTTCACCCTAAAGCTTTAACAAGGTGTGTGTATATATAAACCTTCCACTTTCAAATCCTGCCTTAGATACTTATTTTTGAAGGAAAGCACATGATATGATTTCTAGATGAAGAACACAAATACAAAATACTTGGAATTTTCAATGGCTAAAATGAAAACATCAGTTACCTTGATTTTCTGTTTCTCACAAAGGCTAATGTTCCTCTGAACTTTTAAAATCATCCACAGATTTATATAGAAGCATTGATGATGTACAATGGAAAGAAAAATATTCCTTTCTTATTTAGCAATCTGTTATTTTGTAGACTACAAGCATGCCACTTAATAAATGCTAAAATAAAATATACTGTAAGGTAAGATTATCCTATTATACTTAAACATATAAAATAAATACTTTTCACTGAAATTTAGAAAAAAGTTGGCATTACAGATACTTGTAGGGGTTTTTATGATGGTTTCCAACATGTTTCATTCCTTTGTTTTACCAGTTTTATAAACTTAGGAAAAACGTATTTGAAGAAGAGAAATAAGTAGGTAGCAAAATAAAAATAAATTGAAGTTTATTTCTAACTTAAAATCCTCCTTAAAAGGGCGAGTTTTATCTTAGAATTTTTGAATACTGAATTCTACAGAAAAGTCAAACAGTTTGGATCCAACATATTTAAGAAAGTCCCCATGACAAAAATATCAGCTGAGAGGTGTAGCTCAGTAAAGTAAAAACCTTGCTAATTTTGGATATGAGGAATAAAATCTGAAATAATTACCAGAAAAATTTGTTTTCTTTTTTTTTTTTCAGCAAAAGCAAAGTAATTTTGCAAACCACAATTTCACTTCCTGGCTTGCTTTTCATTTTCAATATCTAAATCACTACATATTCTTAGTGGTTTTCAATAAATTCATCAACATCAGTAACAGATTTGGCAGTAACAATGTAGAAAATAGGACAAATATTTATGAGTTTAAGCATGAAAGAGATAAATATGCAAAATAATGAGAATGCATACCACGGTTAAATTCATCGCCATCGTCTAACCAAACACACAGAATGAAAATAGGAATCCCCAGAACGTGACACTAGAGCACAATGCCAAGATACAATCACGCACTGTTATGTCTGAGCATGACAAAGAAACAGATGGTCATGACCTTTTCTGTAAGGAAGGGGGAAAAAGAATAATGATACAAGACACTTAATAGCAAAATTGTTCATGACTGCTGAAATTCTTGGAAGAAAAACAAAATGAAGAAGCTGCTACAGTAATGAGATAAAAAAAAAATACATGTCTATGTTTGCCAGTCACATTGCAGAATTGAACAGTCACCTGTGGTTTTCCGCTTAACACAGGAGAGATGAGTTGGTCTAGTATATTTGATAGCAGGTTTTAAAATGAATTTCCTGGAGGGAGAGTGGGCCTGAACTTCTGTTTTTTTAGCAAGTTCAGCCTTCTTATAAACTGCTATGAATAAGAAAACACAAAAAGCATACCATCAGGAAAAAATAAACACTTGGAGCAAAACCGAACAAAATTTTATAAATAATTAGTTACCACTGTTAGGCAGTTTTTCTGCAAAAAAGTAATAATGAATTACTTCAAAAACATTTTCAAAGAAGTGATTGTTAAATGAACCTTTTTTCCTTCTCACTTCATCTCTGGAGACTGTGCTAGGTTCCTTTTTAGCTACTTTTCTTTCAGGAGTGGAAATTCTGCCTCTCCCAGTTTTAAAAGGCTTTTCTTTTCTATGTTTCTCAAGAGATGATCTCCGAGCTTCCTTTTCAGCTTTCTCCTCTTTAGGAATAGTTTCTAACTGTTCTGTCATGATGCTCCTATCATCATCTGTGGATCAAAGCAAATCATGACAACAACAACAACAGTGAAAACATTAGTAACAAGTGTACAAAATCCTTTATATATTTAACAAAATGCAAAATAAAGAGATAAAGAGGTATTTTTAAATATTTAAATGAAAAAAATTCCCATAAGTTATTGTATTTGAGTTGGGAGTAGAAAACTAAAAAATAATAATAATAATAATGCACACCTTGAGTGTCCACCCAGAGGCTGTCAGCATCCATGATGGAGTCATCAATGGTGGTCTCGTCTTTGTAATCGTCATAGGTTTCTGTCTTATATTCAGAAAGTGCAACCTCTTCTCTCTCAGGGGAAGCTGGAGCTTCCGGAGAACCATCTTTGGGTTCTGCCTGGGCTTCAGCTGCCTCTTCTACTTCGAACTCTTCTTCGTCATGAGGGGATGGTCTCCTTTCCACCTCAGGCTGGTCTAGGGCTGCAAAACGCACACTGTGGGACCCTGACTCCCCTTCATCAGTTGTGGTTTGCACTACAGTGATGAAATCATCCTCGATGGTCACAACGGACTCAATCACTCCTTTGTGTTCACCTGGGCAGGTCTCCACAAATTCCTCCCTGGCACCTGAGGCACCCAAGTCAGTAATCTGAAGGGTATCTGAGCGGAAGAGCAGTTTATCATATTCTCCCTGGGCTTCTATCTCTTCTTCCTCACTCTGAACCTCTGCTGGTTCAGATACGATTGCTTCATGCACTGGCTCTGCAACATCAGAAGGTGTGATGGATATATCTGGGGTCTCTTTGCTTTCTTCTTTTGGCCCTTGAATAAATTCCATCTGGACATCAGCTCTCTCATCTGTAGCTAAATCAGCCTCTGAAACAGTAGGTGGGCAAGGTATTTCCACTGACAATTTGATGGCAATCTCATCTTGAATTAGAGATGATTCGGGAGATGTTTCCTTCTTGCCCTCATCAGCTTTCAGGGACTCCATGGTGAGACTTTCATGCTCACCACTAGACTCATAGGACTCCTCCTTGTCTACAGCCTCCTGGTGCACCAAGTCAGGCTTTGCCACTTTCTCTTTGACTTCTGTCTCACTAACTTTGGTGCCTTCTTTCATGTGGCCAGGCTCAACACCCATAAATGCATCTGCCTCCTGTGGTGCTTTGGATGAGGGAGTCATGTCCTGTGTAGCCTCAAGTTTTAGCTCTGTTGCCCTTCTAGCATCTATGTTTAGCCCTGAAGCCATCTGTCCAAAGTCACTAATTTTAACATCTATTTGACCCTGGACAGCCTTGTTGGCAGCAAAATCCAGACCTTGTTCTGCTTTTTTTGATGGTTCTACCTCAGCTACCTCTGGCACTGAACTAAGACCCTTTGCTGCCTTCTCAGAGGATGCATCTGTTGGTATTGACAAATCTTTGGCCAAAGCTTGTTCGTAGGTTACTCCTAATCCAAATGTTTCCACTTTATCACCAGCCTCTTCAGTTTTCTTGGCATGTTCTTTTGAATCAGCATGTTCTTCACTCTTTTCTAGTACAGTATCCAGCCTATCACTAGCTTTCCTCTCTTGGTCAAACTCCTTACTCAGTCCTGATTTGTCACCAGAGATAGGCAGGGATGCTTCTTTGTCTACACTGAACTCATCTTTGACTCTTCCAGCTGCTGCCAGTTTCACTTCAATCAATGAAAGGTCTGTGGCCAAATCTCTTCGAACTTTATCATCAGTGCCTTCATAAAAGGAACCACTCTCCCCTGATAAGTTCTCACTGTCTTGAACAGGTGATGGCAATGGGACCGTGTATTTATTGAACACACAGTAGCCCAGGTCTTCGAGCTGACTGTCTGTTTTTGCAATGACATGGTTTTCATCAGTTACTGGGGGTAAGCCAGTACGACTATCCTCAACCACAGTCTCTGATGGGACTGATTTCCTCCTGGCGACCTCAGCATCTGCACTCACAGAAGCCAATCTTGACCTTGTGCCTGCCAGATCTAGCATTTCAGGCAGGTCAGGTGCCATGACAGTACCATTTTTGTAAAAGTCTTTGGCTAGGAAAGGAGACTCACATGTTGTCTCCACTTGAGTATTTTCTTCTCCAGTAACTTTTACTTTCTCCATCTGTTCTTCCTCTTTGCCTTCTACAGGGAAGCAAGGGGCTTTCTCCAGTGCAGGTGTGGTGGCTGGAAGGTAATCATCCCCTTCATCCATACTTCCACTAGTGTTGGTTAGAATATCGGAAGCCAGAGGAGAAAGATCATGTCCCCGACCAAAGTTAAATCCAAGGGCTATGGAATCTAGGCAAGACATGGGCAAATTGATTGACATGCTTCTTTGTTCGATTGCAGACCGACCACCAAGTCCTAAACTCCTGCTAAGGGTCAAATCATCCTTATTCTTACTGTGGAGGTCCCTTTTCTCTCCATACACTTTTGGATCAATAGTGAACATTCTTTCTTGAGGAGAACTGGGTTCTTCAGGTAAGTCAGATGGATAAGTCTGTGCAAGAGTGCTGTAACCTGCTTCCTGTGCTGGAGGACTGGGCTGGGATTCTTTTCCTGTTTGAAATTCCTTGTCACCATTTTTATGCATGGGAGACATGGTATCAATAGACTCATGGACACTTTCTCTAGTGTCACTCAGTTCATAGTAATCACTGCCTGGCTGAATGCTTTTTGTTGCTTCTTCTTTCAAGGCAGATGTTTCAAAATACTTGGACATTCCTGATTTATCTTCATAAAATGGCATGTCAAGTTCAGCTGATGTTGCAGCTCCAACTCCTTCAATCTTATCTTTGTCATCGACTCTCATATCAAAAAGTTCCTGAATTGAGCTTTTTTCAATTAATGCAGATGGTTCAGTCATGGCTTTCTCCAGTGTTTTAGAGGTCACAGCTGAATCTGTAACTGCTTGCTCCAAACTTACAGGGAATGAGTCCTGTTTCAACATATCTGTGGTAGGCTCGTGGCCTTTCTGTTCTGAGAAAGTGTGCTCTGTGGAGGTCTGGATTATGCCTGTTTCTTCATCTGCAAGTTTTGGGGGTCTAGTCTCTTTTGGAACCGCTTCTTTGTCAGAAATGGTGATTTTTTCTTCAAGCTTCAGCTCAGGTTCCTTTTCAGTAAGTGTAGGTTCCTGTCCACTGGGGGTGAAAATATCTTTTTGCTGCATAGTCTGTTTTATGGCCTCCTTTTCTTCCTCTAAGACTTTTCCCATAACATGTTCTTCTACAACTGGAATGTGAGTATCTTTGGGTAAAGTCATTGCCTCTGAGGGTGGTACTTCTGCCATTTTGTCAGGTTTATCCTTATGGGGCTCTTCAATTTCAGAACTATCTTTGGCAGTAGCTGGGCCACTGGTTTGTTGCAGAGATTTTTTGTCATCTGGCTGTAAAAAGGCAGGGGCGAAGGGTGATGTTTCTGTAACTATTTCACTCTTCATGACATCTAAAGGAAGAGTGAAGCTTCCACCTTGAAAGGGACTTGGCATGGGAGAATCAAATTGTTTCCCTTCCCATTTTGGAATATCATCAAATACGTCTTTTTCCCTCATGGGAGTCAGCGGGCCAGGAGATACTGGAGCAACTAAACCCCACTCATCCTTTTTTGCTTCTGTCGGCATTTCGATGAACCAGTCTTTTTGTTCTTTTGGAGTTAGAGGCTCTTTAGGGAGGTCAATGCCAGGTACTACAAGGCTTGGTTCTGTCTTCTGTTTCATGTCTTCCAGGTTGGCAACAAGAGTGTGCCCAAACAAAGCTAGGGGTGCCTTTTCTTCTTCTGTGCCTTGCATGTCCTTTTCATCAGGATAAGGTTTAGTTGTCTCTGGTTGAGAAACTAAGGCAGCATGTTTAAGGTCTTCACCAGGCTTACTTTGCTTCTCTGACTCCTTTTCCTTCTTGTCTAAAGGCTCAGCTGCAGAGGGAGTCAATTCCTGCTGATCATGGAACTCCATCTTCGAGGCTGTAAGTAAATCTGAAGTAATCGGGTTGATTTTTAAACGAATAATAGGCAAGAGCGTTCAGGAAATAAGCTTAAAATTATATTTTGAAATGACAAGTGAATGGTAGAATAAAAAGAAAAATATGGAACATGCAAGCATGCTACCCATGTAAAAATCAATATGAAAAGGTCAGGACTGAGATATATGTGTACTATTACTAAAATGAACTCTGGTTGTAAATTAATGTGCAAAGGAATTGTAAAAACAGTATACTTCTGGATACTCTTTTCTCTTTTTTTGTTTTTCAGTCTCTCCTAAAAGAATTATGTGATGTGTATTATAGAAGAAACAAAATTCAAATATTGAATAAGTAGCTAATGTTAGGGTACAGAAGGATATATAGTAAGGACTAAATATAGATACGAATTGATTTCTACTGAACATTTTCATTGGTTTTGTCATTTAAAAATGAATTGGTAAGCTATGGGCAGAAGGCCAAGTAATGCACAATGATATAGTGTTAATAGTTTCAGTTAACTTGATCAACAAATGTCAGGACCAATTCTTTAGGCATCCACAGGTTACTGGCATAAATTTTTAGAATTCATCTGAGATTAAATTTCAGAAATCTAAGTAAATATTTGCTATCAATTTTACGTGATATGACTTAATGATATACAAGCCAATTTCTATCACATATTTAAAATTTTAAATTTCTAATAATTACTTAGTCTTACGACAGATATAAGAAAATCTGAATTATACTGTTGATATGGGAAAAGGCAGGGGAGAAGTGAGTAACAAATTTTTCAAAAGAGTCAACTATTGAAATAACTTTTTTCCCATGGTCATCACCTCATTCCTTGAAACATGACCAACTGGTAAAGCATTGGCTAGTATTGACTTTAGAGGTGCTCTGAAGAAATGAGATAACACGTTTTAGTATTTATTTATTTAACAATCCAAAAGGCTTTATTGTCCCACTTGTGTTTTAAGGTCCAAGGTATTTCACTGTGGTCATTATAGCTAAATGTAGTTATCTGGAAAAGACTTGGGGAAAAATAATAAAATTCAACCATCTCTGAAAGAGCAAGTGTATGGATTATCATTACCTTATCTACTTATGTGTCCTGTTTTAACAATAAAAAAATAGTTTATGAACTTCTAATAAAGGTTAGATTAATGAAAACTCAAGAGATATGGGGATGATCAGAAGGTTGGCTGCCATGGGGAGAAAATGATATGAGAAGCATCAGCAGGAGCTCAAGAAAATCAAACCAGTATTCACTGAAGCATAAAATACATAGCACATTTTGGTTGCAAACAAAAACGATTCTACCATTTAAGCCTCGATGTGCCAAAATCCAGCTGTACGATTTGAAATAAAAGCATATGAATTGCTGTCCCCAAAATAAAAACAAAAATATACATGTATTAGCAATATGACTGGCAAACATTTGAGATGAGGGGGTGGGTAAAAAAAAAAGAAAAAACAAAAAAAGAAGCTCACATAGCATCATCAGCCTGGCTGCAAAGCGTATTGTATCATGGCAAAGGAAATCAGGAATCAGCTACAGCACTGGAAAACCAAGCTGCCACATGGCACTTGCGCAAGCCATACTCTCTGCACATTAAGCCTACAACAGTGGACTTGTTATTTTGTAAGACGACCCAGCGATGAAATAGCGAAATAGCGTTGGAAAGGCATCAGGTTGGTAAGCCACTAGAGAGACGATTTGAACAAAACATGCAAATCCTGAGAAAGACACACCTTCCCCGGCAGAGGAAGGGGTTTTTACTTCTGGAGACACCTCCTTGACCTCTTTTACACTTTTCTTATGTGGGGCCCCTGCTGGGGCACTTTCTTCAGGATCTATTTGCGCCTCCACACTAGACTCCACTTGGCCCTTACTGAGGCCTGTGGGTTGCTCTGAGTACTTAGCAGTCCCATACTCTTTCTCAGGAAGAGCAGCAGGTTTCTCTTCCTCAGCCATCCGACTCTCTAGCGTTTCTTCTTCTTAGGAATGAAAGAGATGTTGACATTATGACCACAGAACAATACATGAAACAACAGAAATATTACTTAAGGAACACTTTCAGCTCCATTAGAATGACTTCATTAAGACCGCAGCTGTTTTTTTAATTTTGCCATTTGGATAAACAAATTAATATTCTATGCAACATACATTATGTACTGGTTGGAAAACTATGATGTATAATCTGCTAATAGTGATGACTTTTAAAGTCTCATTAAAAGGCAATATATTTTAAAATTTGAGAGCTGAAAGGGTTGTATTGATTGATCACCCTAGTGGAAACGGCAGTAAGCTGCACGCATGTGGAAAGCTTGCTGGAAATAAGAGATGGTGCTGCCGGATAACAGATGGTTGTGAAAAGATGGATGTACTGATATACTGAAAAAAAAAGCCTTAAAATTTGTTAGACATGTGCTGTTTTCACCAATGCAGGAAGCCCCTACATAAGAATTCCCGACTGCTTTATTTAAAATGTGCAAATTTTGCTAAAGAAATCTTTGGGAATAAAAAAAGCTTTGCCTCAAAAAAATATCCAACCAACTACCTTAACAGTTTTATAACAAAGTCCACCAAAGTTGCTTAAAATATAATTTATTTAGCATTTCCAAGGTAAGGGACTATCTAAGTCAAGTTACGATAGCTTCATTGCATTATATGATGTTGGAAAAAATGAACATTTTCAAGAAGTAAGTAAAGTAAAATAAGTTAAAAACAAAGTCAAGGTAAATTTTAAATCTATTTACAAAAGTCTACCTCTGGGACACAACTATTATATTAACTCCCTGAAATATCAGTAATGTAGTTCATACATAATTCTCTTTGACACTAAAGAAAAAGTATGCATATTAGTAATAAAGTCTTCCTTCTGTAATTCAAATTAAAATCACCAAGGAAAGATAATTGAGTGGTAATCAAACGGTCAAATAACCACCCCCAAAACCATGAATATCACATTAAAAAGTTAACATTTAAGATATAAAGACAAGCTTTTCAAGTTCATGAGTTATTGCACTCATTTGTTTCTCATTTACACTTGAAATGTCAATAAAAATAAGTAAATCCCATTTTGTCACTTAAGAAATTAGAGGGAAATATGTAAGCTGTTTTATAGCTTTATAAATGGAAGATTCTTACAAAATTCTTATGAAATAATTGTACATTGTTTAAACAGCCCTGAGGGAAATACTACAGATAGAAAGAAAAGGAATTTTCTTTTCATTTCTTTTTTTTTTTTAGAAATATTAATACCATCAGAGAGAAACAGAGAGAGAAAACTACTTCATCTATCTCTTCACGTTCAGCACTCACTTTTATTTTTGTAATTTAAATATGTAAGTAGCATTTTAAAAATTTAGATTCTAACTTGTTATTTTAAGAAAATTTTTGTAATGCCATAGATTTTGATTACAGTTAAAATAATTTTAATGTAACTGCATTATAATGTTATCATTTTGGATAAAGTTTAATCAAGTTAATTTACATGTTTTCAAATCCGTAGCTTTTTAGCTTTTCATTTTCTCATTTGGTATAAATCATATTTATTTCCCTACAATTGTTCCTTATTTAGAAACTTGCATATTTTAGTAATTAAGTTTAGAATAACTTAGTTTAACTTAATATGGGTTATATTTCTTTATCAGAGAGCCTGAGGTATTGGTTTTCTCTGTTTTCAAAAGGGTCCTTGAAGACGCTCATTATCATGACTGTAGTTAGTGAGCTATAAGCTTATTCCTTATTGCTTTAGAACTATCTGCTTTCATATTAAATACTGTCCCTTTTGGAAATACACTCTTCATCTAAGCAAAAATATATTTAGCTGTACTTTTTCTTCTTCACCAAAACTACTTAGAATGAGACATATTGCAGCCCATCACCTACAGTACTTATTTTATCCTCACTATAACCAATTATATACTGGAGTCTCTGAGCTTTATAAGGCTAGAATGACAAAGACTTTGAATCATTTCCTTCATTTTAGTCCATCTCTACTGATGTGGGCCAAGATTTAGTCACCTGGGGAAGCCTCTGTAGTTTCTGTAGATAATTACATGATATGGGGAAATAAATTCTTTCCATAACATTTATTCTGCTTGCAGCAGATTCTTCAGTCTTTCTCTTTTAAAGAACTATCATAATAACATAGCTTAAAAATAAAGCTAATGCTATTTAATAGTAATTTTATATGTCTAAGGAGGAAAAAAATTATATTTAGGGTCATCATCTTTGGTTTGGGTAAGAATATGTTCTTCCCAGCTGATTATTGGCAGGAAGCAGAAAGAAGTCATACTTTAATAGAATATATTTTTGCTTCTCTCTCTCTCTCTCTCTCTCTGTCTCTCTCTCTCTCTCTCTTTTCCTTCCTTCTCAGAAGCAATGACATAGAAAAAGGAAGTGCTCTCATGCCTCCAGTAAGGCTTCTTTCATATAAATTGTTAAGGCATTTGGATAGATTCAACTTATATAGGAACTTGACTTTCATGCAGAGAAAACAGGTTCCTGTCCCTCCCACTCTGTATAAAGGCACACTTAACATGATGCAGGTGGTCAAAGCTGTAGGCCAGGGAGGAGGAGCAAAAGGGGACCATGCTTGGTTCACCTTTCTCCTGGCCTAAGTGGGCCTCTGCACTCTGCGCTGTGACACTGGGGAGCACACTAGAGGTGGTCCATTCTGAGCTGAACAAAGGATGCTCATAGTACTCCTCATCGGAATTGTAAGGGTCATCATCAGGCACGGACACCGAGATGGAGGGGGCTAGGAGTCTACGCCTCTCCCCGCTGGTGGCAGGTTCATGGCTGGGAAACCTGTGTAGAGGACCCACTTGATCCTCAGCCCCTTCATCTACAAACAGACACACAGGAAGAAACTGCAGGGAGAACTGCACAAGACAGACACAAGATCAAGACGGACGAGACAAACACTTACACAAGGACACAAAGGGCCACAGAAGCAGCACAGCAGGATGGAGGGAAATTAGCAAGATCAAGCTGATGGAGGATGGGAGACAGTGAATGTTTCATGCTTCGGTAACCGCTGAATTTCACCTATCCATTAAACAAGTTTGCCATTGATCTAAGTGAACTAAAGGCATTGACAGCCCTGCTGCAAAACGAAAGTCATCTATACATTCCTCTCAAACAAGTCAGAATAACCAAAGAAACATTGGAATAGAAACAAAGCATTACAAAACAAATGCATTCTTTGGAAGAAATTCTTTCATAAAGGTTAACTCTACTCATGCTAATATCAATATATTTATAAGTTAAAAAATAAGAAAGTTGTTAGGATTTAATGCCTGTGAGATTAAGAAGAAGGGTCCTCTTTAAAACATAGCCTTAAGTATCTAGGAAGTACAAGTAGTTAGTGTTTTGGTGAATTTAAGTCTAGTTAATAACTTTAACCAGAAAGTCATTTTTAATTTCAATCCTTTAAGAAAAATCTACAATGTGTTATTCCTCTTTCCTGACTTAATAAGAAATGAGCAGTCAACATAGCTCTTTCTTTGGATGCTAAGTCTAATGTAGTACCTAGGGGCATCATTTTAAACCCAGGTTCTCATTTGCAGGACAGTGAAAGTTTATTGTTTTAAGAAAGCCTCTAATATTACAAACTTGTTTTCCTATGTTTTGTTTTCCTTCTGAAAGCTTAACAGAGATACAATTAGCTAAAAATTTCTGCAGAGTCAGCTGCAGATTCATCAAGACTTTATTCCATGTAGTTTCATTTGTACCACTGGCTCTTGGATGCTTTTAATGTTTCAAACTTCTTATTGCATATTTCTTATTGAAATGCTAAAATAACTACTCTCATTTCTGTTCTTTCCTGTATCTTGCCTTGGAAATTTGCATTATTTAAATATATCTCCTTAAATACACATGCAGATCAGTCTGCTTAGCATTTGGATTCTTGTATAATTCAATGAACACTTGGCTTCTGATGTGGTGCAGACATTACATCTCAGGCCTATGTAGTGGTTGCTGAATTTTCTAATCACTATTTATTTACTTATATTGAGAAATCAATTTAAAATTTCATGACTCAATAATAAGAACAAAATCTATAGTATCTATCTGTACAGTTTTTATTTAGATCAGATTTTAAGAAGACAAAATTATATCATTAATTTGAAAATAGACTGTATTTTTAGGACAGTAACGTATTTGTGGCAACCAAGTGCTGACAACTAGAAATAAGTCTGAAATCATGAGGATACTAAAATAACATTTTATAGAGAGAATACATTTAATCTTTCAAGCACATTATTTACTGATTTTTCCATGGAAGATGTTTCTGGATGGATGCTCAGAACTTTCTCAGCCACAGTGCTTTTTATATCATGGGATAGCAGAAGACTAAAATAACGTTTGGTATTCTTAGTTCAACTCGGCACGATTTCGCAGCTGAGCAGATAATTGTCCAAGATCTAGCCTACAACACTGACTGAATCATAGCCCTGGCTTGTCACATGTCCTAGCCATTCATATTTCTCTCAGTGGATCTCTGGGGCTGTAAACTCCCCATATGTGCAAATTACTTCTAAAATTCCTGGTATTTTCAATACGGTACATTCGTAATCAATAAATGAAACGGGATATGTTCCTCTTTGCTTTTCAACATCATTTTCTAGGAAGTATAGCAGACTTTAGTATAAAACTAAAGAATTTCAAGCTGAGAGTAAACGCAATACTCATTGGATATTTTAACCTTTTGTAGATTTTGGCCCCCTCTTTCTTGTTGTCACTGTTCTTTGTGAAAGTGCCAAAATTTAAAAACAGCCCAGAGCCTTGCTTCATACCTATAGCATTAAAAAAATTGTATTTTCTGTTCTGAAAACTTTTACCCTAATCAGAAAACAACAAAAAGAACAAAACAAAGTTTGAAAGCTCCAATGGAAAAAGTAGCTTCTTTGTAGTATTTGTCTGGCCTGGGACCAAGGCAACTTTAAAAAGAGTGTCTAGCAAAGTCCGGCCTTTTCTTGGTACTGTGAGCTGTCTGTACTCCAAGTCTCTGTTTAAGACCTATGAGCCTAAAGTCCATCTACGTTACAAGCTCTAGAAATATGCCAGGGAAGCTATGCTTTGTGGGGACCAAGGCTGGCTAAGCCAAACAGGGCACTTGATTCTAACGATAATGATAGAAGACGTAAGATTCTCATTCCTTATGGTGTTGTGTGTGGCATGTGCATCTGGATCACTCCCAACAGATGGAAGACATAATAATTTTAAATAAATAAATAATAAATGGAATATTTATTTGTAAGCTTTTTTCTTAAAGGAAATTACTATAGTAGCTTATAACAAACAACTCATTTGAAGATAATTTACTTCCATAGTCTCACAATAAGAATCTTGATAAGCAACAGCTTTGGGGATGTAGTGAATGTGTGGTTGCAGAATTTAGATTTGGATTTGCATTCTGGATAAGCCACTTATCCAGAAAGCCATGGCATTTTGGGCAAAAAAGTGGAAATGAATATTATCTCTGTGGGTTGCTGGGAGGACTAAATGAGAAGATATCTGTGAAAATGCCAAGTACAATGTCTGGCTCCACACATGTGAGCCTCTGTGTCTTCAGTGTACCCAGACAAGCTGTCAGGTACCTCTGTTATTTCCCCTCATTTAACACACCAAAGTTGGTATTGAGAGATATATGAAAAATTGAATTCATTTTACAACAGTTAATTTGCTGTTTGAGGTCAGGATTGAATGCATGCATCCTTTTACTAGAAGTAGGCATGCTTCTAGGGACTCTGCTTTTGCCACAGAATATTTTTTCATTTAATAATGTGTTACACTAAAAATTGGGTAACCTTATGAACCTCAGACTTTTGTATAATCTTGAAAAATAAAGCTTACCTGGTTTCAATGGAGGAATACATTTTCCCTAGTTTGCTTTCATTCAAACTTTTTTTTTTTAAAGTATTTGAAAATTTACACTGGGCTAATGTAAGGTTTGCCATGTAAAACCCAGCCTTGGTATGTCAGCCTCCTTTGGAGACTGCATCTTGTGGAATGTTAGTGATTCAGTGTTTTTTGCGTGTTGTGGCATCACAGCATATGGTTGATGGCTGCTGGCCCAACTTACATTGTTCTCCACCATTTCCAAGCCCTTTCCATTCTGCCAGCTTTTGACTGAGGACTCCTCAGTCTGCTGACTGTTATTGCTGCCCCAGAATGACATAAAAAAAAAACTACTTTCAGATTAGCAATTATTAGGTCACCACATCCATGACACAGGAAAACACCACCCTAGAAATCAGGAGCAAATCTAAGAGGACAGAAAGAATCCTGGTTCTGTGTTCAAATTATTCCATACCTGCACAGGCTTCCAAATTCTAATAGCTCAGTCCAAATGACAACTATTATGATTAGGCCAAGAAGTAAAAGGAGGCTAATTTGAAAAAATCAAAACCAGTACAGCTTAGGTTTACTGTACCTTTACTAAGTGGGTTAGGTTTACAGCTTAGGTTTACTGTTCCATTACTAAGTGTGTAGCTTGTTTCATTTTTTTCTTCAAAACCCCTTGTAAATGTTTTCCAGAATAAGCACATGTCCTGGGAATTATTAATATTACATTAATTATAATAAATATTCATAAATGATAATAATTAACATCTTAAATTATTTTTAGTGGAAGCTTTCATGCTTTTCCTTTGGGAAAGAACAGCTTTAAAAAGCTTGATAATTAATAGAAAGAAAGTGTATCCTCAAAATCACTGAATACTTAATCTAACAGAAGAGCTTTCTTTCATTTGTATAAAAGGATCAGACTGCAGGAGTCACTGTACCCTCAGATTAAAATTGCTTTGAGGCTGTCAAGGAGGGTAAATAATCTCCTAGATAAGGCAAAAAAAAAAAAAAATGCACCTGCTCCCTTTCTGCCAGACCTGATATAAGCAATATATTGATGGAATTTGGGTTGGGCATTTACAAACTACTTGGTTTAAAAAATTGAACAGTTAAATCCTGTCTTGTGACTTGTCACTAATTTATTTTCTGACAAAACTAAACTTAAAAAAATACTTGTATATTACTTAAGTGTGGCTTAACATAAAAGAGAAGGAGTAGTTTGTCTAGACTACAAATCTTTCACATATTTAAGGTGAGAATATTTTCTGGCCTTTATAGAGGTAGAGTTTGTAAAATATATACATAAATTTTTCCTAAAACTCAAAAAACGGTTATACTTTTAAAAGCAAATAATCAGAACTTCAGACAATTTAATACTTAAAAAAGTTAAAAATACAAGTTTGGCTTGAAAATAACTTTGAATTACTTCGAATAGGAGGTTACTTGGTATTTTCCTTGAAACAGCTTGAAGAAAGTAATTCCAAAATGTAAGGGAACTCTGGAAAGTTGACACCTAAGTTACCAAAATGTGAAGGTGATTCTACATTTTATTTACTTATGTTTTCATTATATCCATCATATTACCCTGCAGGAAGCAGGCTGGGTGAATTCCCAGATGGATGGGAGGACTCTGCTTCTTCCCTTTCTGTTCCAAATCCCATATAGAGTAAGAAGATTAAATGACTTGACCTCAAGCAGACTTTTGGAGTAAACCTACACTGTCAACATCATATCCCTCTCTGGGTTAAGAGGATTCTCTGATGCTTGAAAAGCTTTAAGTAGGAGCTCAAAAACATGTTCCATGGCCTGAAGGAGGTATAATGGTCATGTCAGGCTTCCCCCTGCATTCAGGGTAAAATCTAGGCCACTGACCCCAGCTGACCGCTGATTACTCTCACACTTCTCTACTGCTCTACTCTTTCTCACTACCCATTAGCCATGGACCCCCTTCAGTTCCTGGGTCACTTCAACTTCTTGCTCACCTGAGTGCCCTTGTTATTTTTTCCATTTTTGTTTAGCCAACACTTCTTCCTCATGCTTCTGGTCTCAGCTACTTAGCCATCCCAATAAAATAAGGTTTCTCTTGTACTATTTTAAAGCTCCTTATTCTTTTCCTTTTCAATGCTAATCCACTTTGAAATTATTTGTAAGCTTATCTATTGGATTTCTGTTCTCCACTAGATAGTGTACTGTCTATCTATCTACCCATCTATCTATCTATCTATCTATCTATCTATCTATCTATCTATCTATTTGAGACAGAATCTCATTCTGTCACCCAGGCTGGAGTGCAATGGTGCCATCCTGGCTCACTGTAACCTCTACCTCCCTGGTTCAAGCGATTCTCCTGCCTCAGCCTACTGAGTAGCTGGTATTATAGGTGTGCACTATCATGCCAGGCTAATTTTTATATTTTTAGTAGAGATGGGCTTGCCTGCCTCAGCCTCCCAAAGTGCTGGGATAACAGACAATAACATACCCTTTAAAAGCAGGAATCATGTCTGTTTTGTTCACTGGTATATGCTCAGAATTTGAAGAGTACCTGGAACATTGTAAGTGCTCAATAAATAGATGCCCAGTGAATGGATAAACATAAGGTCAAAACAAAGTTTTCAAACCTATAAACTAAAAGATTAGATCACATTAACTAATAATCAGTGGCTGTTATACACTGATTATCCCCAAACTTTCTTTTATTCCTCAGAAAAACTTAGCTTGTTTAATATTACTTCAGGCAGTCAATTGAAAAAAAGGAGGTTCAATTTAAGAAAGAAAAATCTTGCTAAAATAAATTTAGGTTTATAAATCTGTGAAAAAATAAAATTATAATAGAGTTGATAATTTATGATTCAGTAATTCTAATTTTTGTATTTAGGAAGTCAAAAAATATTTTAAATGAACCTAATTACAAATGATAAAAAGACGTCTTTTAAAATAAATATTCTTTAGTCTTTAACACAGTAAAAATGAAAAATAAATGACTTAAACATATATAAAATAAATACTTTTAAAATTCTGGTTTTAATACATGAAAACTAAGTATTATTGAAACAACAATGGACCCTAGCTCTCTTCTGCCTTTTCCTGTAACTCTCAAACAATACACAAAAGTTAACTGGTCTAAGTTGGAGAACCAGTAATGGTTTCCTTTTAAGTGGTGCCTTTCATCTCAGATTCTGAATGAATATTCTTCAAAGGCATCTTTCTGTTTTATCAACGAGAACTGACATGACATTCCATGTTGAGTACGTTCATAAAAAGATCCATGGACAATAACATGTCTCAACAGGAAAGAAGTTATGAGCTCAGCTTCCAGTCCACTGCTCTCAATATCAGATTCATTCATTCACTTCTTCATTTATTCACTAATATTTATTAAATTTGCTGTGGGTCAGGCCCTGGGGAAGGCCTTGGAAATATAATAGTGAGGAAAACAGAGATAATTCCTGATACTTCCATAAGGAAGTGTTGATTTCATCAATAAATCTGACCCCTACTATTATAGGGATTACATTTATATTTATTTTAATTTGGTTCAGTCACTTACAAGGTAGAATTGTATCTTCCCTGTTAAAGTATTCTATCTTAAGTGAATGGGTTCTCTATAGTTTATTTATAGCAACCAAATACAAATTATTTTCCTTAATCAAGCAGATTTCTTTTTTATTTACCAAATTCCTCTACTTCTGCTTTTATATAAATAAGTGATTATTTATTTAAAGTCTTTGTTTCTTCTTCACTATTTGAAACAGATAGTTCCAAAGCTTGGTCACATACTAACCAATACCAAAGTCCCGAGCTTATTGACTGAAGTTTATTGTTCACCCTTTATCAGAAGACAAACCCTGAAAAGTCCAATAGGCCTTACCTTCCTCCACTGTGACAGTCTGTTCTGAGGCAGGTGATGGGGGTGGAGAAGGAGGCAGATTAGCTGTTTCTTCAGCTGCTAAAGATCAAACAATGGAAAAATGAGATGCAATAATTAATCCTTTCAGGCTGGTAGATGCGTAGGCAGCTCTGCCATTTGTAAAAAAGCCCTCTCTATAAAATTCAGAAAAAATAGTAAGCTGCCTTTGATTTATTTTTAGGCCCATTACCTGATTCATGTGTTTTTGAAAACCTAAAAAATAAGACAAACATTTGATATTTTCAAAAAAAAATCATTTTATCATCTCTAGAAAAACAGATTAGAGATACCTGCTAAAATTCCGTCATTAATCTCATTAATGTGTCTACCTGTTCAATTAATAAAATATTTCATTTTGGCCCTAATTTACCATATGAGAACACACACAGGCAGGCATTTTTAGTTTGGATTCAGCTACTGACAGAAAAAAATATTAGAACCCTCTATTGTTCAACTGCTCAATCTGGAAACATGTGTTATCTTGATCACTCATAGTTATTTTAAGGGACATATTTTTTAAACAACCTTTTGTCCACTGGGTCTAATTTCAAAACCCATCTTCTTTATGTATTCTCAGAAAAGGAAAAATAAGCTTTCACAGCCTGAGCCAACTTTCAGACAAAAACCATGCGCTGAGTAAACTTCTGGTCTTAGCATTACACATGAAGAGGATAAGAGCAAAAGGTTCTAAAGGATGTAATTCATTTACAGTTAACGTAAGTTGTGTTTTTCAAGACACTTAGATTCTTTGTGACCCCCTCATATGACAGTAAGAAATTTCAAAATGAACTGTTTCTCATTTAAGGTCAGTGGTTAAATCTATTTTAAAGATTAGAGGAATTTCAGTTTCATAAAGTAGTTAGTAGAGGCAGCTTTGTGATGACAGGTAACTTTTTATTTCCTTACCCAATGGGCTTCTGCATGGCATATTTTAAGATTTCAAATGTTAATTTAAATTGAGTTTTCTTTTCTTTTAAAGAAAAAAGTGAACAACAGTCTGAAGGTTAATGTTTTAGATTAGATAATTCTTTCCCTATATGTTTTAAGAGAAAAAATAGTCCTTAATAATAAAACAAAACCCACAGCACTAAAAATACTGAGTGTATTCTAAATTATTATTCTGGGAGGGCAGATTATTTTTATTACTTACTTTTTAATAGGCAATTAAAGGAATACTGATCAGAAAATCAAATATTACAGATATATTAGACTGTAAGAGAGGGAAATGGATATGTACTATTTTTAGGCCTTTAAAACCATACCTTTCTATGACTCAGGTGTATGTACCTGTGAAATAAATATATATATTGAATTTAAGAGAGTCTTCTTTCTTCTTGTATCTCTTCAGGAATATACATACACATCTATCTATCTATCTATCTATCTATCTATCTATCTATCTATCTATCTATCTATCTGGGGACGGCAAGGCTTTGGCTGAGAATATTTTCTATGGCAAGCATGTGTTACATGACTTGCTGGCCCTGGGAGGCATTTGTCTTGTTACCAAGGGAGAGAACAGCACTCTCAGTGCCCTTAGATGAACCAAGTGAAGCTCAGTACTTCATACAAGATAGAAAGTCAAGCATGATTATAACAAAGCTCTGGCTATAGGTTTTGTGTAGTCAGTTCAGGAAGACCTAAGCAAGGCTATAGTATAATCATTCACCAAAACCTATAAAGGGAAGTAATCATCTCTTATGAAAGTTTTAGTATATTATCCTTCTGGGTGGAGGTCATGAAATAATGCATTGGCTTTATTTTAATAACTATTTCTAGCGGTCTGGAAAGTGAAAAATTAAGGGTCACTTAGGAAAAAGTCTACCTGTAAGTTCACTACCCTAACTGAAGACTGTGCAAATACTATAACAAACCAGTGGAAAAAGATGAAAATAAGTCCTAACACACATCCAGTCAAGGGGTCTGATGAATGTTACATGTAAGGATGAAGTACAAGATATGGCCTATCTTTTGAACATGAAGACTTTATCGTGTGATCAGGATGCAACAGACACAGTCCCTGACCTGAGGGTCGTCTCATTTACCTAAAGGCAGAGCTGCAGTCTGGTCTTTATGCTGAGCTTCTTTCTCTTGTTCACCTTTCAGGACCGCTACAGCCTCAGCAGTGACTACTTGAACTATCCTTGCAGACACCTCCTCTGTAATAAACAGCAACAAAAGAAAATATAATGATGATAAGTCTTAAACAGGAAGCAAAGAGGAAAAGCAACCAAACAATATAGTAGATTAAAATTTCATTTTCTTCCCCCTAAAAAATACAACATAATTTTTTAATTGCAGAGAAAACATAAACATATACAAACAAAAAAGAAGAAAAGAAGTTGGCATTCTAGGAGATAAGCAAAGCAAAGCAAAATGAGCATAGAACTGAGAAAAATATACTTATATGGTATTTTAATATTTTTTGACTTAAATAACAGAAATTTATTTTCAACTCTGAAGTCCATGACATCTCTATTATAGGAAGAATGTTTGTATCCCCTGCCCCCAAAATCATCTGTTGAAATCCTAACATCCAATGTGAAGGTAATTGGTACTTTATTTTGTAAAAGCTGTTTACACAAATAGAAACAATTTAATCTCTTTATACCTAGTAAAACAAATTCAAGGAGAGATGATTCATTCTGCATTTAACTTAAATTTTTTTAAATTTTCTTATACTATTCTTAAAAATATAATTTATATAAGCTTGTGTTCTTGATTTAAAGAAATGCCATGTTTAAAATCTGGAAAAGATGTATATTTGTATATACCTCACAATGTATATTTGTAGTTAAATAGCATTATGCAGGATCAATGCAAATAAGATAAATTATAAAAAATCTGGAAAGATGAAGTTTTAATGAAATACATGGCAATGACATGTCAGATGGTTTCTTTCTAACGAACTACTATTTTTCTAGATAGCAGATGTTTTAAAGATCTTTAAATCCATATGACATGAACTCATCTTGTAAGTGCAACAGTTTCATTTTCTTTTTTAAAAAAGAGGGCTCATAATTAAAATGATCAGTCTGTGAGATGCCAAATAATTAGTTTTTAGCATCCTTATTATAATATTCTTTCTCTTAAGCAGAACAATGGAAGAAATAACAAGCACATAATCACAAAACTTTCTAACGGTCATGAGTGAATGACTAATAGAAACATATCAACTCTTTTAATGGCATGAATGAAGAAAACATACTCACTCTCAGACCTGCTCAGCTATCTGCCTATCTAAAATATATTACTGCAATTCTCCTGATTATAGCTGGAGGCTATACAACAAGTGATTAGCCACAATTGAGCAACATTTATCTATCTATCTGTCTATCTATCTATCTATCTATCTATCTATCTATCTATCTATCATCTATCTATCTATCTTTATCTGTCATCTATCTATCTAATCTATCATCTGTCTACCTACCCGACTGCTGGGTGGGATGTCACTGAACATTTTCTGAAAGGCTGTGCTCCTAAAGTGATATTTTTAATGGGAAAGAGTACACAAAAAGAGCTACAGAAAATTAAATTAGCTTTAAAGACAGTGCTTGTCCATCTAAATTGTTTAATAATGTTACAAAAAGAATTATTTTAGGTTTTGAAAATTGCCACTTATATATATTAATTTTTAAATGCAATTAAAGTATTTAAAAATCAGTAGAGGTAGGTAGCTTCTTCTAGCACCCCAGTGATTTATGGAAAACTGAGTGTAATAAAGAGGTGGAACAATCATGGCACATATTGGGATATATATAGGACCTTTGTGTCTTCTGGATCATTCCTGCATGTATGCAAGCTGTAGCATCTTCCTATGGCATTTAGTACATCTCACACGGAATTGTGCTGGTTCACATGGCTTATCTCCCATACTATGTAAAGATGTAAGGTTTCCAAAGTCAAGGACTCTGTTCTGTCATTGTCGCAATTCTAACTTTTAAGTTCAGGGGTACATGTGCAGCTTTGTTACACAGGCAAACTTCTGTCATGGGGTCTTGTTGTACAGATTATTTTATCACCCAGGTTTTAAGCCTAGTACCCATTAGTTATTTTTCCTGATCCTCTCCCTACTCCCATTCTCCACCTTACAATGGGCTCCAGTGTGTGTTGTTCCCCTTGAAGTTGATGTGTCCGTATGTTCTCATCATTTAGCTACCACTTAGAAGTGAGAACATGCAGTATTTGGCCTTCTGTTCCTGTGTTGGTTTGCTAAGAATAATGGCCTCCAGCTCCATCCATGCTCCGGTAAAAGACATGATCTTGCTGTTTTTTATGGCTGCATAGTATTCCATGGTATACATGTACCACATTTTCTTTATCTAGTCTATCCTTTATGGGCATTTAGGTTGATTCCTGTCTTTTCTATTGTGAATAGTGTTTCAATGCACAATTCTTGAAGCTTCTCTTATTAAGCTTTACCCAGATTGGATGCTTAACAGGATTTTTTTTTGACAGAATGAAAAATTAAAATGAAAGGTTTTATTTATAATATTTATAAAAATTCAGAAAGAATTCATGCTTGTTACTACATTTAGTAACCTTAAAAACGTCCCATAATGGAATTAGAGCTCATGAATAAGTTAATTTTATTTTTGTACATGTTTAACCAAAAGTTGTAAAAAAGTAATTTAACCTGATTTGGGGAGAATTGGTAAATTTTTTTCTTTGAAGGAATTTAAGAGATTTCGAGAAATGCTATTTTAGCACAGTCAAATGGGCTGTTGGATTAACTAACATATTATCTTTGAGATTTTTTAGAGCATAATATTGTTAAACTTTTAAAAATATGACATAACATATTTTATAATACAAATTTCACAGTGAATTTAAGATTGTTCTGGGAATTTCAGTTGGTCCAATTAATTTAAAATCTTCCTCTAACTAATGGCTGTCATCAGCAAAAAGGGCAGCATTCTTGAGGAAGGGAGATGATGTTCTCCCATTGGAAGCCTCATCAGCAGATCTACTGGGTGAGCTTCATCCTTACAGAATGGCTCCTGGGACAGGAGCAAATTCACTCAGGGTTTTTGTAAAGATCAGGGCAGATTAATGGTAAATGTTCCAAACAAACTCAGGAGACAAGGAAAGACAGTCACAAAATCAGACCTACAGAAATATAAATGTAATGGTTATGATGTATGTGATTATATATGTAATTTCTTCATTGATTCTACATTTGTCTATTAAGTCCCCCTCTCCATCTATTCAACCATCATCCATCCAGTCTTTCTATATATTTAGGGGATTACTGATTGCTGTTTTTTACAGCAAACATCAGAGGGAATCTCACAGACTTTAATTCAGAAAAATGTGGGTACAAACTCCAGCATTGCTGCTTTCTAATTATTTCATACTATGAAGTGTACTCAATCTCATATTGCTTCGATGCCTTATTTATAAAATGGAAATAATTTTAGTACCTGTCTCAGAGGTTGTTGTGGCGACTCAATTACATAATTACATAACAGGCCTGGCACATAATTATATAACAGGCATGGAATACAAATAAAATGAAAACTTCCAGATAGTCCTTCACTGAGGCATTTTTTTTTTTTTTAGACGGAGTTTCACTCTTGTTACCCAGGCTGGAGTGCAATGGCGCAATCTCGGCTCACCGCAGCCTCTGCCTCCTGGGTTCAAGCAATTCTTCTGCCTCAGTCTCCTGAGTAGCTGGGACTACAGGCGACGTCACCATGCCCAGCTAATTTTTTTTGTATTTTTAGTAGAGACGGGGCTTCACCTTGTTGACCAGGATGGTCTCGATCTCTTGACCTCGTGATCCACCCGCCTCAGCCAAGGCATCTTTATTTTCCCCTAGTCATGTATTTTTCTGAGTCTTCTACTTTAACATTTCTACCTTAAAGAAAGAGCAACAGTGATATGCACTAAAGGTCTGCCCAACTAGGCTATTGTTATTATAACCATCTGATAATATAGTCCAATATCACTGATATTGATGGCTATGGTTGATGGGCAAGGGAAGTATTTTTTTCCAAGGCAAAGCTATGAGAGAAGTAAATATTATCTTTGTTATTTATTTTCTGGCTTCACACCCAGTTTCCTGGATGCACAGGTCCTGGGATACCATCTGGTCAAGATTCTGTCCAGCAAGTCCCAATTCAGGACTATTCTAGACAGTGCTCTAAAAGGTATGATAATCCTGTCTAATCCTGAAGACAATCTGTGACATGAAAAATTCTCTTTGAAGTAAGAGATTAGACTACATGTTAATTTTTCGTTGCTTACTTTTTCTACCTGCTATTCCCTTTTCTACTTTCTATTCTTTTTTCTTGCTTTTTCTTCCAAACGTATGTGTAAATTTATAAACAGGACTTAGTTGTTTAGAAGATTAAAGATGAATCTAGATTACACACAAAGTAAGGAATTATTATTCATTATATTAATTGAAAGGTAACATTGATATTCATAGCTAAAACATTAAACAAACATAAAACTGCTTATTGTAATCTGATATTTTGAAAGTCTCAATTATCTTTCTTTTAAACTTCTAAAATGTTCTGTCGCTGGACATTTTTTAGTTTATGTTAGAAATTTTCTTAGTTAAGAAGTGTATATGATATGTTTTCTTATTCTTTCTCTTGAGAATGTTCCATTCTCTCTTTTGTAAATGAATGTCAGGGTTTCAATGTAATTAACAGTAGTTGTTGCATTGCAGTAAGATCCTTACATTAGTACTTGAAAGTTAATTTATTATTATCAGTAGAGTCAATATAATGAGATAAGTTCTATAAGTAATAAAAAATCTTATTATATGCCTGTAAAGTCATGTCATGGCTATGCAAAATGAATGGCAACTTGGATCTGACAGCAAGTCAATTAGAGGGAAAACATTGAAAAGGAACCTCTCTAAATAAAATTCATCTCATAATTTCTAAAAATGTTATTGGTTAAAGGCTGATTAGAATAAAGGATTTAAGTATTTAATCCAGGGAACAGAGCAATAGGTGATAGCAGATCATCACCATACAGGTAAACACCTGAAGATGAAATGTGAAGTCTGCCTTGAAAACTTTTCCTGGGCAACAAAGATGGGGTTAGTATTTAGAAAAGAGTATTAAAGCAGTCCTTCCTAGATAAATTAAAATCTGGAAAGAAATAATATCTTTTCTTGGTATTAAGGAAATATATTGGTGGAAACACATAGAGGAGATTAATAGATATGAGAAACTAATTGAGAAATGCTGTCATCCACAGAAAACAATTTGATAAAATCCAAACAGCATCATGCTAAGTTATTTACGCTTCACCTAACTAATGAATAGACATCATACTGTTATACGAGCTTATTAAACAAGTTGCTACAGTAGGCGCTTTCATTTCTTGTCGATGCTATTTAATGCACGTATTTACACATTGTCCAGATGGGAAAACCGACAAAATAATGGATAAAGATACACTTGTCCCATTTAGACATTGTTATGATTTACATCAGTATAAGTATTTTATATGAAAGTAGGTTCTAGTGTCAGAAAACCTGGGATCAAATTCTGTCTCCATCTCATATTAGCCAAAAGACCTTGGTTAATTGACACTCTCTCTAACATCTTCAGATTCCCCATCTGTAAAGTGGGAATAAAAGTTGTATTCATCTTTTGGTGTGTTGTAACAATTAAGTAAAATTATATAAATCAAGTGCTTATTTAAATTAGGTACCACGGTTTTAATCACTCTTGATGTCCTGTTATGAAGTCTATGAACATCATTTGATTGACAAAATGTAGGTAAGACCTGTAAGTTTTTGTCAGATGTTGAGACGATTCTGTCATTTTTCCCAATGAGTACCTCTTTGCCTAAATGTTGGGCCACTATTGTGAGCCTGACAGACAATACATCAGGCTCCTGACACTTACTATTTGAACTCAAAGGCATGTAAGGTAAATTTTGCTCTACTGTCATATCGTATTACTCAGCATTTATAGCCATCATGACTCTCTGTTTTTTCCCATAATGCCGATTCATGCTGCATCACTGCCATGTTCTTCTGGTCACACTATTTACCACAACAAATTTTTTAACCTCTGGCCTTGCTTTTAGCACATTTTTAAAGTTACTTTCTTGTATTTATCTATCAATATTGCTTGGTTGATTAATAATAACAGCAATGAAGATGAAACTTTTTCAATAACCCTGGAAGTTTCAACTTGTTTCTGAGTGATACATAACATTGCTGGTAGACCCGTAAGTTTGATTTTGAATTCGTACCCTGTGGTTTATCAGCAGAACCAGCTATGATTCCTTGAATGTGCAAAGGTTCACAAATTAGGCTGTGAACAAAAAAACCCAAGCACCTTGACATATGCTTGAGAACATGTTTTTGTTGATTTCTTTTAGGTTGTTAAGAGAGACGTAAGAGACAGTGGCTGTAAATTCAACCATATGGAATATAAAAGCCTGCAAATGTTTTAAGAATTTTCGGTACAATAATGTTGTGTTCAAAGAAAATGACAAATAAGCTTACCGTACACTTGTGGAAGAAGGAAAACAAAACAATTTTAGACAGAATGCTCCTGTCAAGAAAAGGTTTTTCTCAGTAGGGTACAGAATGGTTGTCTAGGAAACCGATGCTAATTGCTGCTGCTGATGGAAACTAATCAACAAGGAAAGCACTGTGTAGTTCGAAGCACTCAGCTAAACAAAGACCCTAAACAAATTCATAAAAATAGGGAAAGAAGAAAAGTTCTTTGCTTCTACTCCTTGCTTAATCTGGAGAGTAAATGGTTCCTCTGAAACTATTTCCTGTAATCAACTGATGATGAAGGAAATTAAAAGAGCAAATTGTTGGGCTTTTGTTTGTTTGTTTCCCTGGCACCTTTGCATTAATTAGAGGCCAGCATTGGCATGTCTCACCCTAGACAGACTTCTATTAATCTCAGGGGTCACAATGGCCAACATTGCAGCTACAGATCTTTGCCTACCAGCTTTTTCTTCCAGAGATTTCTCCTAAACATTTAGTGATTAAAACAAGGATCAATTTTGATTATGGGTAAAAATGCATTTGAGGTGATGTTAGTTACAAAGACAAATGCATTTAACATAAAGCAATTACGATGGCATAAAAGTCGGTTCTGATGGGTACTTAAATTTAAGAGAATTTATTTTGCACCTGCTATAGACAATGGAGCTATTCTTAGTCATTAGGGAGAACAGAAAGATGAGTAAGATATGATTTTCCCACATTTAAATTGTGTTTAAATGGGGGCAATCTTGTTGAAAGAAATGTTTTGTTTTTCTTCGTTAAGATTTACTAGTAGTGGCCACAAATTTTGACTGATCCTGCCACAGTCACTGATATGGTCCTCTTCTGACATGGATTTACAAATTGGTAGACTAGGATTGTGAGTACAGTGTGTAATTATGGGAGAATTTTCCCTTTCTTGCTCTTTTTTTCTCTACCTCCACTTACATGCTCAAACCCATAATCTTGTTTAGATTACACCTTAATGTACTCAAATGAAGTCTTTAGAGTTTAATAGAACTGGCCTAGAATTTAAATTTGATCAAGGAGGAAAATGTAGTAAATTAATACAGTTATCAGTGAAAGGATATTATAGGTTAAAGACACTACATTATGGAGTCAAAAGTAATTAGAAAAGGTCAAATCATAAATAGTACCTATTGGAAAATTTTGCTTCTAATTTTAAGTGTCCAGCTGAAAGTAGGGAAACAAAAAACACATTTAAGCAGAAGAAATACAGTAAGCCAATATAGTTACAATTTATCTTTATATTTATCATGTTCTAGTTAAAGTTTTCTGCTACTGGTGGTATTGGGGGTGTCCAATGGAGTAATATATGGATGTTTATGTTGTCTGGGGCCCATATATTATGCATTTACTAATTAACTAAGGTTGTAATATTTTATCAATCTTAACTTGAGAAAGAGAAATTTCTAGAGAGGTTTGCTCCCCTGAAGTTTTCAAATAGCTTTAACACCAATAAATTGAATACAATCATTAAGGCACTGAGGGAATTGACAGTACGTTTGGAACTTTGAAATGTTCTTGTCAAACAATTATACTACTCTTTGTAGACTTGGGGAAATTGGATTATATTCTCTTCTTCATTAAGTCTTAAAATACATCACATTGCTAAAAGAATGTAGCATGAGACATTTTAAATAATATTAGTTGGAAAATAAAATATCAATAAAACAAAGAGACCTTGAATAAATCCACCCTGAGAAAGAGTAACTGTGAGATAAACAAAATATATAGTGTGTGTGTAGAAAAACAATAGTGTGTGTGTGTGTGTGTGTGTGTGTGTGTGTGTGTGTGTGTTTAGGCATGTGCCAGTACTCATGCACACAAAAGTCTGTCCATACTTTTAAAGTCTCAACTAGAGTTCATGTCCTCTTAGGGACATGGATGAAGGTGGAAACCGTCATTCTCAGCAAACTGACACAAGAACAGAAAACCAAACACTACATGTTCTCACTCATAAGTGGGTGTTGAACAATGAGGACACATACACACAGGGAGGGGAACATCAAATGCAGGGGCTAGTTGGGGAGTCGGGGGGCCAGGGAAGGGATAGCAGGGAATGGGGGGATTGGGGAGGGCTAACATTAGGAGAAATACCTAATATAGATGACGGGGGATGGATGCAGCAAACAACCATGGCATGAGTATACCTATGTAACAAACCTGCAATGTTCATACATGTACCCCAGAACTTAAAGTATAATAATAATAAACAAAGCCTCATCTGTAAGTGGATACCTCACAGATCTTGGGCACAGGAACAAGGCTAGGGTTTCTTAAGGAGAAATCCATGGTTCTATAGTTGCAAAACATAGGAATGCCAATACTGGCCAGAGACAGAGGATATGATGGAAAAAAAATTCTAGATTCTAAAAAGATGTCATTGGAATGAACTTTTGAAATTAAGTTCTCTATATACCAAAAATAGTCTTTACTAGTTACCTCTGTAAACAAAGATCTTCTAGGTGAAACTATATCTGTTACAATAAAATGGTAAAGATCAGCAGCTTAGCTAACTTTTGTTTGATCCTTCTATCTCATCCCCAACATAACAGCAAATCTTTGGAGGCCTTGTGACCTAGATGCATATGGAATTTAGGAACCACGTGATGGGAAAAATCACTTTGTTCCAAATACATTGTAAGGTACACCCAACTGTCACATGGTAAAACCAACATGAGTTCTGCATAATTAGATTTTGCTTCAACCTCCTTCCTATCCTATCATGTTTCTAAGAAGTTGCAAATAGCAGCAATCAACAACCTTATCTGCTTTCTTCTGAACAAGTTTCTCATTAACTATTAATGTTGTAAATAAGTTATTGTTCGTTTCCTATACCTGCATATTTTATTTTTGTCATTGTATCTACATAAAATATTGTCCATAAAGATTCTCTTCACACTAGCACCTGAAGTGACTTGGCAGGCTTTAAGTCAATATTAAATAGACGTGGTATTTCTTTATAATATTCAAATCATAACTGAATATATAATCAGATAATCATGTTCAATAATCTTATGAGGGGAGGAACAGTGAAATCAATTACACTATGAACTTCTGAAAACTGAAATACCTATTTTTTTTTTAAAAAAAGGAAAATACAAAGAAAGTAAAGTAAATCTGAACTATCCTTCTATTATTCTTTCTTTAATAATACTGTTAAATAAAAGCTCAGCCACAATACAAGAAAAGGGATGCACCTTCACTGGAAAAAATCTAAATGTGTAATATTGATGATAGTTAAAATACTTTTTGCCAGACCCCTAAGAAGCAAAATCAAGAGACTTTGCAAATCTTCTTTTTACAGCAAGAAGTGTAAGGCGAATGCCATAGTTGTATTTTGATGCTACTATGATAGCAAAAAGCAAATACTTTAATAGAATTTTAAAATTTCTTCATGTGAAAAATATTCTAGAATAAAAATGATTTCTTTTATGTTCTGTATTGATGAATGCATCTCATGGAAAATATTATTAAATACATTTCTCAATTTTATTTTTTCACTATGTAAGACAAATAAAAAACAAATAATAATTTCAAAGGTACCTTGAGAAATTTTCAAATAACATACAAATCTTCAGAAAATATCTCTGGGAGATTTGTTGAAATAAAATTTTACATTGATGATTTTACTTCAATGTTGTTTACGTCAATTTCTATAACTGCATCCCTCAACTGTATTGCTTCTCATTGATACCAAGCACACCTCTGGGGATATTTTCAGAATGTGAGTGCTATCTCTATTATACCTATTATAGCCAAAGAACTCACTCTTTACTTGAAGACAATGAAGCTTTATATCAGAAAGTAAATGATATCTAGAAGCATAAAACTGTAACTTGTTATGGTAATAGCTCTGGTTGTCCTATTGTAGGAACCCAGCAGAAAGAGAAAGGTAGATAAAATTTGATGGGGTGGTCAAGTGGAGAAAAATGTAAGAACAGGATGCTATCTAGGTAGGTAGGCTGATATGGGGCAAGGAAATTAAGCTTTGTAATGGAATTTGCAGTAGGAGTTTAGGCATAGGAGCATATGCCTGCTGACAACTTAAAGAAAATGAAGAGATGGGATTGGGGAAACCAACAGAAAAGTGCTGAAGTAATGTTTTATTTACTTCCTAATACTGCATAGGGCTGGTCCTAGGTAGGCAGATATTACTATACCTGTACAACAGTCTACAAAGACAGAGCTTCATTTGCATTGAAAAATCACAATCCTATGAAATAGATACATGGGGCTTGCTGAGGAGACGAAAAATCAGATTTCATTAAAAGGTCCTGAAATTTTTAGGAAAATATCACAATGAAATTCAATTTACTATGACAATATGTGAAAAACATATTATTTTCTTCCTAACATACAAGGAAAATTTCTAAATCAGGACTTGTACCTTTGTTTTTCAAAATGAAATTACAATTTCAGTATTTCATATATTTCATTAAAAGGTCCTGAAATTTTTAGGAAAATATCACAATGAAATTCAATTTACTATGATAATATGTGAAAAACATATTATTTTCTTCCTAACATACAAGGAAAATTTCTAAATCAGGACTTGTACCTTTGTTTTTCAAAATGAAATTACAATTTCAGTATTTCATGATTATGAAGCAGTTGACCAATTCTTGGTTCTCAGAATATGCCTAAAAATAGCTTGGTTTCTCAGATTCCTTTCCTTTCCCCTTGCTAGTTTCATTTTTCTCCCTACTTTTACAGAGACCCCCACCCCCACCAAAAATATTTTATGTGAGTTTGTAATTTGGGTTTACTTTCTTAAAAAAAATTTTGTAAAAGTAAAAACTCTCATGAAACTAGAGAACTTTGTTGTTTTGCTCTTTTTCTTGGACAGTTCTGAAATGGAACATGAAACAAAGAGGCAAGAATGATATGATCTGAAAGCAACTAGAAGGTGATCAAAAGCTATAGGAAGAGAAGTATGATTTTAATGTAATCATTATGGTAATTAGTGTCTTACCTGAAATTTTATAGCATAAGATAAAAGAAATACCTCAACATTTTAAATAGAGTTTAGAGTATCCAGAATACTATTTTAAAAGCAAATTTCCTATATTCATTTTCCCACAGAACTGATAGATAAAAGCACTTTCTAATTAAATACTGTAGTTTTTCCACATTTAGTTGTATCAAATAATACAGGAAAAAGTTGAAACTTATCATTATTCAAGCCTCAGGAGACTCAGGCATTTCTAGTTAGAATTGAATAAATGCTCAATATTTTAAAATTTACTTTAAAAATAAGTATAATTTGGGGGAGTTTTTTTTTCTTCACATCAAAAATTAAATTCAAACTTATCTAGTAATTCCATCATGAGATGATAAATTATCAGTTAGAGTAATTTAAGTTCACCCTTTAGAGTGAAATCCAACTAGAAAGGAAACATGTGTCACCAAAATAGCCAACTCCTTGAGCAGTATTTCTGATGTTGTATTAGGATCATATGTGCAAGCTAAATGTGGTCTGCAGAGCCTCACATAACATATTGTTCTTCAGGATGGCAGATATTTACATGAGAGCTGGGGACTACCGTTATTCCAACTGAATGAACTTCCTCTCTTAAAATGTGACTTTTGTTAAGTGGCTACTGTATTTGCTTCAGACTCAATTATTTGTTTCTTTTTATAGCAACCAGGACTTACAAAGATTTAGATGAGAACTGGCCTGGAGAAAATAAATATCTTAGATGCGTTGTGATCAACATCAAGTTAGTGTAATATTTGGAGAAAAAGCCATTTTTCCCATGCCAGCATTTGTGTTCAGTAAAGTTCAAAGGAAAGAGAGTTTTTTCCCAATATTTTTAATGCTTTAGTCACACATCTCTATTTTTCAAGCTGATAAGAAAAACAACCAAAGTCAGCTTTTAAAGAAAGACATAAATAAACATGGGCTGAAGATGCAAAATGCAATAAGGAGAAAAAGTATCCAGTGAATTGATTTATTTTTTAAAGAGCTTATAAAAGTAAATTAATAATTATTATTACTACTATTAGCTTCCTCCTTGTAGAATAACTTTACTAAATACTGAAATACTCAATGCTTAGACTTAGAAAATGTAAATGGGAACATTTTTGTCCAAAAATATCAAAAGGAAAAGAAAATTATGGATCACAAGAAGCTTTTCTTTAAGTGAAAAATGAAAACTAAAGAAAAT